GACCATGTAAATCCTTTAAAATGTGAGCGCAACGAGCTTGCGCGAAGTAAGGAGAACATACTATTAATTAAATAGTACCAGTATTAATAGCCCCTTCAAGTCTTTGAAGAAAGAAAATCAGGCTTAATTAAAGTGAAATAATTCAAGATATTATAAGCCTCTTTCGATCACAAGCGAGTAAGCCCTATTAAAAGGAGATATGCCACACGAACGATCATAAGCAGTTGTTTGCTCCTATTCACGCTGCTTTTAAATCTCTGAGTCGTGTAAAGAGTCGATGCGGTCGGAATCCATCCGATGTCACGGAGTTCAGCTCCGCACTCCGCAGCAGCTCCGCAGCTCGGCAACAACACCATCCAAGCATGCATCCAAGGGCATTCAGCAAGTAGCTATCATCCAGACTACTCGGAGAGGCGCACGAAGTGTGTTGTTTGCTAGTTTAAAGCCTGTAATCAGTGCTCATCAGTGGCTCATCAGTGGCTCAGTCTCGTCTCATCACCTGTCGTTTTTCAAAATTATCCATCTGGCAGAATCTGTCATCCCAAACATCTGGCAGAATCTGTCAGGTGAAAAATGGCATGTCACCATGATGAGCTCACTTTTTTGTTCAACCGGATTGCTAGAGTTGCATACCCAACCGAACAAGGAAGACTTTCGCGATTGTTGATAAGCCTAGGCCAGATCAACCCCCCTACCTTCAATTACCCTTTCTATCTATCTTCTATTCAATACCTATCAATTGCAAAATGAAGTTCTCTTCTTCTATCATCAAGCTGCTTTCGTGGTCCATGACCACCGACAACAACAACAGCAACACCATGAAGACCCCCGTTCTCCAGGTCGCCAAGGAGATGACGGGCAACAACAACAACGACAAGGACGTTCCTGCGGCAGAGGAAGTCCCGACGTTCCAACTGGATGAGTTGGACAAAGATGTCGTCCAAACCGCGGCACTGTTGCACTCATATGGAAAGAATCCTGATGTGGAATTCCAGCAGCACGGTCGCTACCTAGGTGCCTACGACCTTTCCCTGGTTCCTGCGGATCAGCATGGTCACTACGGATACGACAACAACCAGCACCAGCCCAAAGGTTGTCGCATCCAACCCAGTCAACCAGCCAACGCTCGCTGGAAGGCCCATTACGGTCAAGACACCGAACGGAGCAATGGAAACCGTTTATCCTTTGCTCCCGTCAACACTGTAGTGGGGTACTCTTCTTACGAGAGCGAACAAGCTGAGAACCGTCGTGTCTATCGAGACATGAACAAACATGTGCCACAGGCCCGATACGAATTCTGGCACGAAGCCCAACAACAATTCATTTCCGTCGGCACACAGACACCCCACGAACGCGTCTTGGATCTGGTGCAGTTGATTCAAGAGTACGGATACCAACAAGTGGCCAAATGGATCACCAACAACCAATGGTTCCAAAGCGACAAAGCTTACCTACAAAAAGCCAAACTGTACATTCAAATTGATGCTGTGCATCAAGACCTCGAGGGACTTGTTCGTTTCATCCAGGCGAAGAAAGGAAACGACAAGCAAGTCGCCCACTGGTTCATGGTCAACAAAAAGAACACTTACATGTTCGAACTCGCCATGTGCCACTTGCACCACGGAGGAATTCAGCGCAACGCTGACGACGAAATTTGCACCTTGAATACGCGGGAACAGATTGCCAAACGACGATTTGTCTATCGCAAGGTCAAGGACGTCTGCATGGAAGATGCAGCACCTGTAGTAGTAGAACAACAACCAACAACAACTAAAGACATCGGGACAATAGAAAAAGTCTCGACCGTCGACGACAACAAGATGGCATCCGATGCCACAATCACATGCGAAGCAGCGGTGGTTCCCACATGCACAGCAGTGGTCCCATACGTTCAAAAGTGGCATGTGACACACTTCAAGATCAGTGTGCATGGACAACAAGCATTTGTATTGGAGTTGCGAGTGATGAATGGTGTGCTACTTGGAGTGGTACCCAACAACATTCTCGCAGCCTTGATGAAGGATGGTGGAGACCTTGTCAAGGAATTCATGCGGCGGCGCAAGACACTACGATTGGAGGCAGGCGTTGCCTCGGACGATACGGATTTCGAATTCGTGACTGGCGACCAAGTGGTAGCTGAAGAACCACTGGTCGAGGGCGAGGAACAACAACAAGTTGATGCTGAAGAACCACTAGTCGACAACCGAGTCGACGAGGAGGACAATGTGGACACAGTACAATCAACTTTGCGACGATCAAAGAGACGCATGGCGGCGATTGCATCTCAGAGAATTGCAGAACAAATGAAGAAGCCACGGCTGGTGGCAGAACAACCTAGAATTAAACGTAGACGGGCGGCGGCCGCCAAGAAAAGGTCGACAAAGCCAAAGGCGAAGCGCAAGAAGAAGGCGACGACACAACCTGTGACGGACACACAGCAGCAAACAACAGTTCAGACAACAACAACTCTTTCTGGACGGCAAGTCCGAAAGCCTGACCGGTACATTCCAGTCTAGGACAACAGGTAAGTAAGTGGTCGACGACGACCACCGATTGCGGGAACTAACACAATACAATACACAACGAGCAAGCATCTGGTGGGGTGCAGGGCTATACAACAACTTTTGCGGAGATGAATACAGTTGGTTCAATTGAAGGGTCACATAAAAGGTAGCCAGGTTTGTGGTTCCTGTGCTAGGCAGCCTCTATTGCAGAGTGCTTGTCCGAACGTCCTCCACGCGACGAAAGTCCAAAGTTAATACCCGTGACACCCGACAACCAACCTCTATCATTGTTGATGCTACAAATCTTTTAAAAATGCAGCCAAACATAATCATAGAACAATAACACATAGTAGACAATCTTCACCAACAAAATCATGGCTTCATTGTTTATTGTAGTTGCAGTGGTAGCAATAGTTTCACTTCGCAACCATGCTGTAGCAGCATCCATTGTCATTTGCTTCACCTGTGCATCCAATCACACCATGCCGTAGCAGGAGACGTAATATACAGCTATAGTTTTACTTAAGAATGTATTTCCGAGCGTTAGAGAATGATGCACTGGCACTTTAGACCGACACCTTGGTCTCGTGGCTCTGGCACGACTTCCGCGTTCGGGATGGTTTCATCCCGGCGCCTCATTTCCTCCTGCAAGGAAAACACGGCTTGTGTCAATTGAAGGATGGTCTCGTTTTGATCCTCCAGGGCGACAGTGGCTGCAAGCAGACCGTCCGTGTTGGTGTCGTTTCCGCTGCTAGCAATGGTCGAATTGTTTCTGGAGGAGTGATCGGGTGCTACCGGTGTGGCCAACACTGTCGCAACGGACAATGATTTACTGACGCTTGTATCTTCAGTCACAGGTGGAGCGGCGGCGGCGGCTGTTGTACGGGTTCGTGTATCGTGAACGGCGTCCGTTTTCAGATCAATCATCGTCCTATCCCAAAAACCCAAGCGGTCGGCCCCACTCGAAGGTCGCTCTGGGATCTCCAGCACGGAGGAATTCGCCTGTGCTGTTCGGTTCTGTGTCGTCTGTTGATTGGCAATGTTGTGTGAAAAGGGGCCCGTGCTCGCAGTCTCGGGTGCTCTGATTGTCGTATTGTTGGCTGCTTTCGGTTTCGCATCTTCTTCTCCTTCTAGATAAATCTCTGTTGGTTCCCAATCCTTTGGCTTGGCTTGATCGGGGTTGCTGTTTGCCTGTTGGTTTTTTATTTGCTCCGTAGCGACGCTCTCGTCGTCTCTTCTTGCAGCAATCGGCGGTGGCTGCTGTGCGGAGGGAGAAACAATGATGGAACCACGCTCCACGTCCGAGTTGCCACTGGCAATAAACGTTCCGGCTTCCAAACCGGTCTTTTCGGCTTCTCGAGCCTCGCGTTCGCTCTGTTCGGCAGTAGAAGTTCTGGGCGACACACGAAAGGCGCCCACCTCAGAGACACGGACCGCACCTGGCACCGTGGCCGGTGCTGTCTTTTTGGGTTTGCCTTGCTGTTGTGGTGCTGGTGGTTTCGTGGGGGTGGCCGCCATGCCCTCTGTGTCTTCTGCAATGCCCATCTTCATTTTTCGTAGCTCATCGGCATCAGCTGAATCGTTTTCTTTGGCATTTTGTTCCTCGCGAATAATAAACTCTTTCCAGTCAATGGCAGGTGGATCGAGAGTCGAAACGGATTTGTGCAACTGTTCGAGTTCGTCGACCGACGGTGGATCTGAGGTTTTTCGGGTTGCTGGTCGTTTCCGAGGTTCCTCTTTTTCGTTAGTACTCTCCGATTCTTGTTGGGACAACTTGGCGACGGATAGGCGCTGGATGATGTCATTGTTGTTGTTGTTGCCAGACTCCTTGACCTTTTCTTCGGCCAAGGCATTCACGGTGGATGGATCAACTCCAATGGCACCACTGGCTCGAAGCTCCTGTCGGAGTTCTTGCCTTACGACTTCTATGATACTTTGTACCACGGCATCATCCATGACAGCTGACGCCGCCATCAGGTTGGCTTGTTTCATTTCCGTTTTCGGTGAAGAATCCATGTTTTGTTGTTCGTCTGGTTCAGTCTCCGGTTCCATGGCTGGACTCTCTGGCTGATTCTGAGTGCTGGTATCTTCTTGACCATCATGATTGATTTGGGGCAAATCAGACTGATTTTCAGCCTCCTCTGGGACAGCCGGCAAAGTCACTGGCCGGTTGTCTTCCTGAACTCCCACAGAAGGAGGAGCTGATTGCGGCTCATCTTCTTCCACATGTACCGGTACCTCCTCTGATGCTTCAGGTGGATCTTGTGCTTGTCGTCGTCCACTCACTTGGTGTGGAACGCGAGCCGGATACATGGCAGGAGGATCACTGTTGGAGCGTTGCGGTGGTTGCGGTGGGGTTGCAAATGCATGAACGATAGTCGTCCCTGAAATGAGTTGCTGGAGTCGTCGAATCATGACTTCGGCTGCTTCCAATCGACTGTTTCGTTCTTGACAGACACTCACGAGCTCCGCCACTGCTACCGGAAGGTTCTCGGATGGATTGACAAAGGAATCGCAATCTCGTAGAATCTCGCCCAACGTCTCCATGGCGGCTGTCGTCGTAGTAGTCTCAAAGGCTCCCGCTGGACAGGCTGAAGTAATTTCGGACAGATTGTCATCGTCCCAGGATGTTTCAGTCTCACTGCCGCTAGTACCGGTAGTAGTACTGGTAGTTCTGGAAGACTCATTCGCTGTCAACTCCAAAATGATGGCGGCATGACGACCCATTTCTTCCTTTTCGCTCGCCGACAAATCACGAAAGAAACGCATCGATCGAGGTGGTGCTCTCGGTCGCACAACACTCCGGTTGGTATTGGTTCTCACATCATTGCGACTGTGTACCATCTCATCGTCCACCGACGGCCGTGCCTGTTCATCAGACATGGTGATTGGTCGATTGATTGATCAAACTCACTGATCTAGCTATTGGGCTCCTGTTTTGTGGAACAGATCAAGGAACCCCCGTTTGTTGCAACTGGTATCATACCAAACGAACGAAATCTTTTCTCACTAACGGTGTCATGACGGGGGTTACTAAACAATAATATTATACAGTATTTGCAAAATTAGTAGTCTCAGTCCCTCTTCCGAGCCAGGCCGCACCTCCACATAAGCCCTTTGCACCGGACATCTCAATCCAGACGTGGATTTGTGTCACGCCTTGTCGAGACAAAAGACGTCATGTTAATGACTCAATCGAGATTATTTGCAGAGCTGCAGTCGTTGGAAGGAGGCTCTTGGAACGCCATCGACAAGTCACAGTCTGGCTGGCGCAGACGACGCACTTCGACGATCTTCCATCTTCGACTTCGAACTTCCAACGCGCAGCGAGTGTGGGAGCAACAGTGCGAACTTTTGACTTGGCTCACAAAACCAAGCTCGAAAAAGCAAAACAACATACCGGTACTTTCACAAACAAACTACTAATTAAGCAATACAATAAAGGAAGCAACCAACAACTATCTAGCTGCATCACAATGTCTGAAATCTACCTTGTTACTGGTGCCAACAGTGGCTTGGGACTTCACTCTGTTCGCCGCATAGCCATGATGCCCTCCACCAAGAAAATCTACATGGGGTGCCGCTCTGAAAACAAAGCCTCCGTTGCCATTGACTCGATTAAGGGCATGGAAGGAGTGGATCGATGTGACCAAGCTTCAGTATGTCCACTTTGATGCATCTGCTTCCAAGGAAGAGATCTTTCAGATTGTGAATAATCTTGAGGACAATGAACTCATTACTGGTGTCCTTCTCAATGCTGGTGGCATTGGTCATGACAAGACTCAGAAGCCCGTCGGGCCCAACCAGGTCCTTGATATCCACCAAATCAATTTGATTGGACACGTTCAGCTTGTGGAGGCTCTCAAGCCCAAGCTAGCCCAGGGATGTAAGATTGTCTTCTCAGGATCAGAAGCGGCTCGTGGGATCCTCATCATGATGATTGGTACTCCCAAGCTTGGTGGCACAAGTGATTGGTACAGGAACCAACTTGAAGGGAAATTTCCTGGTTATGATCCCATGGATGTATATGCCAAGACTAAGGGATTTGCTGCCTTGTATTTTGCTGAGTGGGCTCGTCAGAACCCAAAGTACAGTGTCCTGGTAGTGTCCCCAGGTGGTACCTCTGGCACTTCTGCTTTAAATGCGGATGCAGTGCCAGCTCACTTCAGATTGATGATGCCTGTTATGATGCCCTTGCTGAAGGCAATGGGAGTCATTCATAACTTGGAAGATGGAACTGACCGGTACATTCAGGCGCTGACTGGTAAATATGACGAAGCGTTCCAAAGTGGATCTTTTGTTGCCTCGAAGCGGGGAACCACAGGCGAGGTGTGTGATCAAACCGAACTCCGTAGTGGTAAGATGTATGCTGACACTGTGAAGCAAAAGGTTGCTTTTGAAGCACTGTCGGTTTACACCACAGTTGAGAAGTAGTGATTTTATGATTGGATGGATGCTTTGAACAGAATCAGAACAAACAGGTTTGGAGAGGTTACATTTGGCTGTCACGAATAGGATCATTATTAAAGAAACAGGACCGGATAACAGTTATATTTGGAAGCTGTCGATCCTAGATCTATTTTTGAAATGAATCCTTACGTTGGCAGACAACCCACACCCAGTCATGTATCTGGCCGAACGCCAGGAAAATGGGAAAGGAAGCGTGCTAGCTAAAAGGCAGCAACAGGAAACTCTCTAACACAAACTTCTGCACAAACGCAGACCCGACTAGAGCAAGCTAGAAAGGAGCCTAAGAGCCCGATCTCTCCACCGTGACAGTGGACGAGAGAGCAGAGGAGGAAGCTAACTATCTTTCTTTCTGAATGCGGAGACCGTAGAGAAGCAGCTAGAGCAAAAGAGGAGACCGTGATCCAGAAGTGGATCCTCGTAGTTAAGAACTTCCAAATTTCACTGCTCGAGTTTCGGTTTCGACCTCAACCCTTTGAAAGACTCTCAAGAAACTATAAACTCACTCGCCAGCGCTTGAACGCTGCATGAAAGTGTTTCTGTAGTAAGTAAAGTAAGCAGAAGATCATGGGGCATTTGTAGTGTACCCAGCCCACTCCACGGCGGACCGTTGGCTATAGTTTCAGCAATACAAAATAGAAACCTATGCTCACAAAAGGCATTATTTGCACGGCCGTTCAGTCAACTTGAAAATGAGAAAATGCATCATGGTTCTTGATTCGATTCAGCAAGCATGTCAATTTGAGAGCTCCTAAGGGGAACAAGCACAAGGGGTGCCATGACCTTTGCCAAAAGCAGAAGCTTCGGTGACTGGTGGGCTCTGGGTTGGTTGCGTCCAGCTGTAGGCTACATGTAGATGTACCAGGTACCGCAGCTAGCACGGAATGCTGGGCCATCGCGGTATTCATGACGTTGAACCCGTGACCCATCCGTTTCCGCTGGCTTCTTGAAACTGACGAGGTGCACACGATCACACAAGGAAACCGCCCGAGTTAGAAACGAAGACAACCAGTCCCCGACACTGCATGGACAACCTTCTTTCTTGGACAACCAGCAGGGGCCATCTTGAGATCCTACACTCCCATAAAAAGCAACGAAACAAAAAGCAAGCAACAAAAAGAAACCAAAAATAACCACTACCGAAGCCGCAAAATGTCAGAAATCTACCTTGTTACGGGTGCGAATGGTGGCTTGGGCCTTGACTCGGTTCGACGCCTGGCCCTCATGCCCAGCACCAAGAAAGTGTACATGACATGTCGTTCTGAAAGCAAGGCATCAGCTGCCATGGACACACTCAAAGGCAAGGGTGTGGATACCAGCAAGCTTCAGTATGTCCATTTTGACGCATCTGAAACCCAGGAAGAAATCTTTCAAATTGTGGACTCTCTTGAGGATGAACCCATTAATGGGTTGATTCTCAATGCTGGTGGTGTTGGAAATGACAAGTCTAGGAAGCCAGTGGGACCAAATCATGTCCTCAATATTCACCAAATCAACCTGATTGGACACATTCAGCTCGTTGAAGCACTGAAGCCAAAGCTGGCAGAAGGCTGCAGAATTATCTATGCTGGATCTGAAACAGCTCGTGGCGTACCCATCATGTTGATTGGAAACTTCAAGATGGGAGACACAAGTGAATGGTACCAAGATGAGCTCAAAGGAAAGTTTCATGGCGTCTTCAGGGATCCCAATATGCATATTTATGCCAAGACAAAGGGGTTTGGTGTCTTGTACTTTGCTGAGTGGGCTCGACAGAACCCAAAGTACAAGGTGCTTGTAGTTTCTCCTGGTGGAACCTTGGGCACTGGTGTTTATGATGGAGATGCCTTTCCACTTCATTTTAGGTTGAGTTTGAGAGTCCCCGGTGCAAGGACCTTGACAAAGGTGTTGGGAATCTTACACCCCTTGGAAGATGGCACTGATCGATACATTGATGCTGTCACAGGTCAGTATGATGGCAGATTTGAATGTGGTGCTTTCATTGCATCCAAAAGAGGCACAACTGGCCCTGTCAGTGATCAAAGTTCTCTTCGCTGGGCCAGGAAGTACAGCGATCCAAAGAAGCAAAAGGCCGCCTTTGAAGCCTTATCAGCCTTCACTGGTGTGTCAGAATTTTCAAATAAAAGAAAAACAGATGACCAGGCAGAATCTTAAAGCACGACGAAGATACTAAAGAAATCCTATGCATAACAACCGCGGTATTTGTGAAACTACAAAGTGGCTGCTATTTGTGTAATCTACCTGGAGATGTTACTATACGGTACGGGTTTGCGTGCCATAAAGTGACCATGCACAACCCGAAATGAAATTTAGCCAAGAGACTGGGCGGATCTCTTGGAGATCTAGAGTAGCATGTGGCTTGCTTCGAAATATATCAAATCTACAACTCTTAGTCTCAGCCAGAGAACAATGCGAGTCTCAGTCAGAAACAGAAACAAACGAACGGACACAGGAAAGCATCTAATATTGGTCCCAGGCAGATATATGGTTTACTCTCTACCGGTAAGGTAAATTCCATTTGGTCGACTTTGAGCTGGGCCCCACTCCATGTAGAGCAACCGAGCCTTGTCCAAATCGGTTTCGGCCACCACACTGTTATGCTCAGACGATCCTTGACGTTGCCCTGCAAATTTTGACCAATTCGGCCCCAGATCGCCAATGTCGATGTCCGAGCAGACCAAGGGATTAGCGACAGGGGTGCTCGACTTGTGGATTGTAGACGAGAAATCCATCACTTGCAATGACGTCATGGTCGTGGTGTGGACGCCAATTCGGACGGAAATGGTACTTCCCATGCAGGCAATGGTTTGCACAATTTCTACGACGTCATGCGAGTACCAATGCGGCTTCGTCCTTCTTCAGTGATGGCTTCAGTCATTGTTTACTGCTCTTGAATGACCTGTCGATACGCCTGTACATCCTTCTTATTCTTATTGTTGAGTGAATCCAAGAAATGTTCGACTGCCGCCACAAATTTTTCCAAATTCTCTTTTTACTTGATTCACTCAGAAGACTCCGCTTGTTAGCATACCGTCGATGGAGATGGGATAGAGATGAGAGATAAGATAAGGGAGACAAAATGGGAGACTTCAGAGCAGCCAAATGGAGGGACAAGAAGCAGAGTGAGAAGTGAGAAAAGGTTTCAAGCAAGGTTTGCCGTGTCAAGAAAAGGACAAAACCGGTACAAGGTGACTCACTCGATTGAAGAAAGCTATTTAAAATAACAGTTCCTATTTCCTATGCCTTCCTGTAAATATTTATTTAATTAATGATTCGAGTACACACAAAATTGATGACTCAATTGCTGTAAAAGAGTTTTGACGAGTACAAAAAGCTTGTTGAGCTGTTGCTCGTTGCTGAGGGAAGAAGACTGACTGAGTCGAGTCGAGTCACTCGCTCTGGTGTCGGTGCAGGTCGAGGGTGTCGACGGTGCCCAACCAGACAAGACAAGACGAAGCCCAATAAGTGCCGACAGCTGTCGACCATTGTGACCATCTATCTTATTGCTGGTTTACTTAGACGTCGAAACTATGCATAGGTGAGGTGACTGCTAATAGCTTGCCTTCTTGTTTTTCTGCAGTATCTCTAATTAATTACAATGTGCATGAGCAGTTTCTTCAAGTTGTACCCTTGAGTACTCATCACCGAATGCATTATTTGTCTGCAACAGCTTGTGGCAACCTAGTCGTGACCACTGTCCACATCTTTTTTGGAGGTGATTAAATGATCTGTTGTAGATACCGGTACACTGAGTACTGTACCAGTGCGTGGTACATGAGGTACTGACTCGAGAGTACGTGTAGTACTGCAGTGGTACGTGGTACAAACTAACTCTTCGGGACGTCCGACAACATGTTGACAATTGATTTATTATTTTATTAATAAAATAATTAATCATGTCATTCACACTTGGTGTGGATGACTTCAAGTTTCTTTGTAGTAAAAAGCTTGTGCTTTCGTGCAACAACGCGGGTGAAAACTACTAGTAAGTCTTTGACTAAAGCCATGGCTCTGATGCCGAGTACTGTTACTGGTTACTGGTAGTCAATAATACCTGGGTCGGCACAGGCACATGGTACAGTGTACAGGCGTACATACATAGTGTCGAGCTGCCGATCTTTGTAGCTGTGCGGTAGTCAGCGATGAGCAGCTGTCGGATAAAGCGTTCTTATTTACATGTGTGTGGTCATCAGCCAATAGGAACCGAAGTGTGACAAATAGTGACGATAATTTCATCTGCAATGTTCCTCATGATTACATACATTTATGTCATACCAATGGCTCTACAGAGGAATAAGTACACAGTGTACATGAGACACATAATGCGGGCAATACAAATGTCTGAGAGAATAACAAAAAAGAAGTTTCTGTCCACTCATCGGAAACAAAACAGTACATCGGGAGCACCTGACACAGGCATCCATCTGGAGAGACACGCATACTAAATTGTCTGTCCTAAGATTTGTCGACGTATCCAATCCTCAGCAGTAGAGAACCCAAGTATTCAGTTGATGAAATTAACTAATATTTTATCTCTCATCGACTAAGAGTATTATTGATCGGACGCCTGTAAGTTTCAGTTTCCGTAGGTGGTCGCACCTTCTTGAAATGACTGCGTCCACGAGCCAAAGGGCGCAAAAACGAGGAGAGCTCCGAGAAGCCTCTCTCGCAGCTTCTCTCGCACTCTACTCTCTCTCACAAATCCAAATGTTGGCAGTTTAGTTTAGCTCCCAAAATTTTGGTGGAAGGTAATATCCAAAGTATAGTATTCCAATCAATAATAAACCGACCATGCCGCTCACCCGCCGTCAGCGCTGCCTGAAGGCGGCTACCAGTACTGGAACTGTGAGTGTTGCTATTAATAGTGGTACCCCAGCGATCGCCATGGCCAAGTCCAAAGGCAACAAGGCCAAACCAAAGACTCTGAAGACTCCGAAGACTCCGAAGACTCCGAAGACTCCTCAGGTGTTGGCCAAGCTTGTGGCAAAAGCGCAAGATCCTGACAAGGCATGGAACGTCAACTTTCCATCCAAGTTGTTTCTGATTCTGGAGCAAGCAGAGAAAGGCGGCTTCTCAGAAATCATCTCTTGGTTGCCCTGTAAGTCCCCTTAGCTTGGATTTGATTTTTGATTTTGCTCATTATTGGATCTAAAATTTTAAAAATTAATATTGCAGGCGGCAAGATCTTCAAGATTTTCAAGAAGGATGCTTTGGTTGAAACCGTGTTGCCAGCGTAAGTTTAAGTCCAGGAGAAGGATAGTGCTCGGCTACCATACCGGTACTGGTACTGGCCATGGTACTGGCCATGGTACTAGCTAAAGAGTTTTTCTCATACATGTATGTTTTTCTCTTCTGTACATGTATTTTAAAATAACAGATTTGGTTTCAAGCTCAACCAGAAAGACTCATTTTCTCGACAGCTCAACCATTGGGGCTTCAAGAGAATCAAGGCTGGTACGTTCGCTCTGCAGTTTGCAGTTTGTGGGTTGGGTTAGGTCTACTCGCGTCAACTCAATCACTTCTACACTATTTTAGGTATCCACAAGGGTGGATTTGAACATCAGGTAAGGCTACAGGATCTTTCGTTTTCGCTCTGTTGCTCTTAGTACTTCAAATTTCAAATTTCAAATCTAACATGGTCATGAATTTATTATTATTTGTAATTGGTAGGATTTCTTTCGAACCGACGCCCATCGTGGACAGAATGTCAAATCTACCCGATCCCGTGCGAGCCAGAGTGCCGCAGCTGCCGCCCTGAAATCTCAGGTTGTTGTTACTAACACCAATATTGCAAAGACAAACGAGATTGTTCTGTCCACTGCCCTAGCCACTATCAAGCGCTCCAAGTTCGCCCAAGCCAGCATTCATTCTTGTGCTGGAGTTGTTGCTGCGAATTATCCTGTGGAAAAGAGAACCGACTCCGCTGCCAAACCTTGTGTAACTGCAAAGAAGATGTCCTTTTTAGATATGGCTGTCAAGAACAAGAAGAGATCAGCAAGTGCTACCAGTACCAGTACCTCTTCAGTCGAAAAGAGGGTTCTTACTCCCAAGAAGAAGCTTATTCCCGCAAGTGGCAAGAAGACCAGTAAGAAAAAGGGCTCTCCAGCCTCCAAAAAAGCCAACAAGAACAAATCATCATCGCCCACCAAGACGAAACTACTTGCCTCATCCACCAATGCCTCCTCTGTTCAGAAGAAGAAGAAGTCGTTGGTGTCGACCAAGAAACCCAAAGGGAAAGCTGCCGGTGAAACCTCGAAGAAGTCCCCCCAAGCTACCGGTAGCGTGAAAACAAGTTCGCCAGGATTGGAATTGCCTCCTCTTACACCCATTCGACGGGGAACTTTGTCAAGCACTGCTGGTACCAGCCCCAAGGCAAGCAAGAAAGAAGTTCCCATCTTCATTATGGATCTTCTCGAAGACATGAAGCAGCCCGCTGATAAGGGCATCCCTCGTCTTGGCGAGATTGAAGAGAGCACCAAGGCCGCAGCCATCATGGAACTGTTTGAGGAGGCGGCCGCAACGTGCACTGATCTCTCAGTCAGCCCTGATGATATGGACGACTCTGACACCAAAGTCGAACCAACCAAGGCCCATACTTCCAGACGTCCCTCTACAGCCAAGTCTCATGCTCAAGTCCTCGCCAAAATGGACTCTGTCATTCCCGACATTTTTAAAACCAAGGAAGGAAACGAATTTTTAAAATCACCAATTCCTGTGCCGGAGTTCGAGTTCTCCGAGGTTGGTGCCCTTGCTATGCGCGAGATTCAGGCTGCAGATAGCATGTTCGCGAAAGAAGGACTAGGCAAGGCAGTGCATCCCTTTGTTGTGGTGACACCTGACAAAGATCGTCGTCGTCGTCCTATGGTCTCCCATGAAGAGCACATTGTCGAAATGCCGACTCTCAACTTCACCCCGTCCTGTTCTAGCCTGACATGCGACTTGATCCACGGGAAAGAATCTATCATCGGTATCAACACTATCGATGAGGACAGCTGCTGCATGTTGGAGCCGTTGCCAATTAATTCAGCTCAGTCGAAAGCGAGGCTAACGCATGGAGCGAGCAAGGGACACGTCAAGGGTGGGAACTGGACAGTCTTGGGTCTCCTCTGTGACAATGGAATCTACAAGAAGGCGTCACAGCCTCAGCAGAGTTCTGGGATCTCTGGGCAGATGATTCCTCTTGCATCCGACTTGGACGTTTTCAAAAGGTTCGTCCCAGTCGAGGACAGTGACTTGAGCGACTGTGGCAGCAGTGATGCTGAGATGGACACCGCCGATCTCGATGAACATTATGGGGGCTTAGAAGACAAGGATTGGGTCATGGACAACGAAACCCTGACCACTGAGGCTGTGATCAAGGACATCCAGAAGCTGTTCTCAGGAAGTACTTCGGCCTCCAACAGCGGACTGTCCGTACCTCCAACCCGATTTTTGTCATCTCAGTCATCTGAGTGGGCACTTTCTGGTTTGTCTGCAGTTCATTCTGGAGAACAAATCAAGGTTACCGCTGTCTAGATGGGAGCGTTGCGTTTTGCTCCAATGCGAGCTCATCAATCTTTGGGCTGCTCTTGTTTTGATCTTCCGTCGGCCAAAGGCCCTTTGTTTGGAAGGCTGACGGTCTTTTCTGATCATGAACAATTGCCATCTCACAAAACTACACATTACATACATATCAAGGAATACTTATTTGGCTGTCTCGGGATGACAGCCAACAATGCATACACAACCGACGATGGAATCGGAGATGTTCTGGTACAGCTATTTTCTGCCACCAGCATGTGCGATTGCATCGGGGAGACGGGGATGCACTCTCTCTGCACTTTCTGGGAATTTGCCTGGGGAGAGAGTGCAATCATTACTAATCACAATAATTGGGCGTCTTCTGGGGGGAAAGGAATATCGAGAACCACACGAGCTGCTGGCTGATGTCACAGTTACTTTTCTAGCTGTTTAAGACGGTCTAGCTTCTATTTGCTTATGATTTGAGTCAGGCTTGTTTCCATAGTCTGTATGTCTCATCTCGTCTCGTCTCCATTAGCTAGTTGCTCCGTGGAAGCTTCCAATGTGTCATCAGTGATCAAAGCTCTCTTCGCTGGGCCAGGAAGTACAGTGATCCAAAGAAGCAAAAGGCCGCCTTTGAAGCCCTATCTGCCTTCACTGGTGTGTCAAATACAAGAAAGCAGATGACGAGCTAGCTACCGTAGCTAGGCAGAATCTAAAAGCACGCTGATACACAAAAGAAATCGTATGCATAACAACCGCAGTTTGTGAAAATAGAAAGAGGTTTCGATACTATTCCTGTAATTTGCCTGAAGATGTTTACTCCGGGTTTACGTGCATTTGCGCGACCAGGCACCCGAAATGTCACCAGGAGACCGTGGCGGAGCTCCCACAGATCTTTGCTTCGAACTCTCAAACCTGCAACTCTTTTCTCGGCAACAATCGAACGGAAACAGGAAAGCATCTACCAGGCAGATATGTGGTTTACGCTCTAAGGTTGTTGATCATAAATTCCATTTGGTCGACTTTGAGCTGGGCGCCCCACTCCATGTAGAGCAACCGAGCCTTTTCCAAATAGGTTTCGGCCTCCACGCTGCGTCTTGCCTGATATAGCATTCTACCGGCCTTCTCGCAGGCAATGGCCTGGTCACTGATGAATCCTTCCTTTTCGGCCGAGGCAATGGCCCTGTCATACTTCAAGACAGCGGATGAGTACCGGCCATGACAGAATTCCAACTCGGCATCTAACAAGTACATTTTGTTCACGCAGTTACCGGGACAGTGCACAAGTGAATTCTTCATCTTGGTGTACTGCTTCTTGGCATCTGCCAGCTTGCGACGCCTCATCCAGCCTGTGGACTCACGGGCCAGGGCAGCACAGACCAAACCTCGGTACATCCGATTGTAGATTGGAAGGAATGGCATGAAGAATCCCTTGAAGCTGTCTCGTTGTCGTTGATACAAGTCATCGGCAAATCTATTCTCATTCATCAGTGCAGCCAGCATGTACTTGTAGTGCAGGAGCATGACCAAAAGATTCTCGACATCTCCCTCCTTGAGTCGTTTTGTCATTTCACGTTCTTGCACGTAGTCCCCTGTCATACTCAGAGGATCTTTGACGTTGCCCTGCAAGTTTTGACATAACTGCAAGGCCAGGCTTGTCGCCATGCCAACCTTGTACTGCCGGTAGGTTTGACAGAGACTGGAGGTTTTGTTGAGTATCTTGAAAATATCGGGAATCGGGTCACCAATAAGAATTCGATGGCTGCTGCAGAGAGCCCTGCCCGCCATTGCCATCTGTAGTAGAAGAAGCAGGGCGACAAAAGGCAAGGAACAGTTCCAGTTAGAGCCGATGCAGCTAGCTAGCTTCACTAACTCTTGATCTACGTACCTCCGTGTTTCCCACCTCCATGGCAATGACCCCGGCATTCCAAATGGGCTCAATGCATTCTCGAAAGGACAGTTTGGACGGCAATACTGCAACCGCGAATACAACCTGCACATTTCCTTGCAGTTGTTTGGAGGGGAAACGTTCCATGATTTTCGTGGCCATTTGTCCGAACCGATATCCCTCTTCCAAGTATCCCAACTTGACCAAGCAAGTACCATAGAGATGAAAGCCGAGACCAGCTGTGCGTGAATGGCACAACATTAGGTAAGTAACAGCAGCAGAATATATATAGTTTGGTCTTTTGGTTCCATCCATCCATCCATCCATCCAATCACAATAAATGTAGTGCAGTACATACCTAACGGACTCAATCCATGCTTTAGTGTCAGTCGTACCAGTCGAAAGACGGGCAGCGCGGACGCTTTGGAATTCATGGACTCTAGTAGATTGAACATGATGTATAGAATTTTCATGGCCGTCATGGTTTTGGAATAATCTTGCAATTCGGGCAATGTCATGATATCTTCTTCGGTGCGCTTGCCAATGGCATGTCGGACCCGGACCAGTTCCAGTAGGGTACCCCATTCGGTGTGTGCTTGTGGAAATGGCATGTCCAGTTCTGCCAGTGCATCGCGACAAATTGAAATGGCTCTGGACGATTCTCCTCGTCCTCCGACCGACAATGCGAGCGTGACAATGGCTTGATTCTTGTCGGTCATGGATCGGGCATTGGCAATGACAGCTGTGGCGAGTGTTTCGACCGTCTCGGAATCTCCAATGCAATAGGCCAATTCAGCACCGGTACTGTATAGTTCAATACTGAGATTGTACTGATCGCGCCAATGTCGATGGCCCAACAGTCCAATGCCGTGGTCGACGTATTTGGACGCAGCCGAAAAGGCCGACTTTTTGGCAGCTTCCTTTCCAGCTCTCAAGTACAAGCGTGCAAAATCGTCCTGTTCGTCTTCTTTTGTAACGAGATGCAATCCGTGCTGTAATTGATCCGCAATGAGAATGACGTTGGCCTTGACCAACGCGGTGGATAATTGTCGTCGTAAGTTGCGTCCAATGGTGAGATGGACAAGGGGTCGTTGCTCGAGTGGAATCAGGGACAGGGGTGCTTCGCGAAATTTGTCGTGGGGAATGGTCCCCGTGCCGAGTTGTGGATTGTACACGAGAAAACCGTGTTGGGCGGCCAGTTGCAGGGAGCTTAGTATTTGTGACGATGTCATTGTCGTGGCGTGGACTTGTATCCCAACGGAAAAAGTACTTCCCATGCAGGCAATGGTTTGGACAATTTCTAAGACGTTGGGTGGCAGCATCTGTAGTTTTCGGGCCAGCAATTGAATAATGAGATCTCCACTACTCGAGTTGACAGAAGCGGACGACGGCAATGCGAGTACCAAGGCAGCTTCGTCCCATTGCCATTCTTGTCCCTTACAAACGTTGGTGTTGTCAGTTTGGTAGAGTATTCCATCGTCCACCAAACTGCGTAGATATTGCTTTGCAAAAAAGACATTTCCGTTGGTTTGTCCATGTACAATCTCCGCCAAGGGCATGCAATCTTGGAGGTACATGTCGAGTGCATCGGCAATCATACAGGCCATGGCGGGAATGGTGAGATTGTGTACTTTGATTTCAGTAATGAGTACTGTGGCATGTTGTTCCAAGTCTCGCAAGAGTACTGACAAGTCATCGTGAATGCCAACCTCCTCTCCACGACACGTTCCGACAATCATGAGTTGACTGTTTTGGGGAAGTATGGTTTGCTCTGTGGTAGGTTGCAGCAATCCCTTGAGAATGTCGAGAGAAGGGGCATCTGCCCACTGAAGATCATCCAATAGCAGCACAATGGGAGTTTGGGAGGCAATGGCGTGCCAGAATCGACAAAAAACCGACACAAATCGAGCCGGATGTTCCTTGGTGGCTCCAATCTTGAAGGACTGTTCACTACTGTCCATGTCCAAGCTCAGCGTGGAACTATCATTATTGTTGTAGGTTGCTGTGGCTGCTGCTTCTTCTTCCGTCCTTACTTCAGTCATTGCTTCATGTAGTAGAAGTTCCGACAGCCCGGGAATGGCTTCCACCAAAATTGCCCCTTCTGATCCTACAGCCTCTTGAATGGCTTGTCGATACGCCTGTGCATTCTTATTGTTGAGTGAATCCAAGAGCTGTTCGACGGCCGCCAGAAAGGGTCCATGAGGCTTGGGCATCTGATCATCAAATTTCCCACCGAGAAAGAAACCTCCACCTTGTTCTTCCACGCTCTGCTGAATGGAACGCGCCAAGGCCGTTTTGCCTGTACCAGAAGGTCCTGTAATCAGACACAGTTCTTTCGTTTTACTCGAATGATCACTCAAAAGACTCCGCTTATACGCATCCAGCAATTCACGGCTCTGCGCTTCGCGGTCATAGAGCTTGCTGTTGCCACCCCAATCCATGCTAGGAGCCGTTTGCGGACCAACCAAAGACTTCATTCTATCGTTCTTTAGCATACTATGATAGTACTCAGCAGGATGGATGGATGGATGGATGGATGGATGGAGATGAGATATCTGGGAGGCTTCAGAGCAGAGAGAGTGTGCAGCGACGTTGGAGTGTGAAGACTTCCAACTATCAGCTTTGTGCTTTCGAGAAAATATTTCCCGAAGATCAATTGAAGAAGGTTTCAAGGTGGGAAGGAAAACAAGCCAAAAAGATCCAAGGTAAACTCTTCCCAAGTCCGATAAGTTACCGGTACATGCAGGTGCTGCCTCATTGTTTAATGCATACTTTACTGAGACATCCAATCTGACGGTACTAGGTGAGCTTATCTGTGACATTAAATGATTGCCTGCTGTTGAAGCTTACACACTTAATGTAAAGTTACCTCTGTCTGCTAATTGGAGAGAACCTCTCGACGATATTCCTTAAATCGCTTGGTGAACCATGTTCGGGACTATTGATGACTTTAGAATGAGAAAATGGCCAAAAATGGATGTAAAAAAAGATTGTGTTCTTAGCTTACATGTAGCTTGTTGAGCTGTTGATTGGAGGAGCGCTTTGCCGGAGTTTTTTTTTAAAAAAAAGGTTGACGGTACTATTTTGCATAGCGCCGCGGCCCAGAGCTTGAGCCTCACTGCGAAGTTCTCATGCACACCGTGCCACTGCTATGTAGTCGGTCGCCCCAAGTCTCTCCTCTCTCTCGGAGAACAGAGATACGATGCAACTGGAATCGAATCATTCTTTTGTCCATCCGCCCTTTCTTGCAATCATTACGCATCGGTACCAGTAATTGCGTTGAGGCGTATACCCGTATACCCTTCCATGGAAATCTAAACATCGGCCCTTATTCGCGCGTGTCCATAGAAGCGATAGAGTTTAAAAACACGACGCGATTCCCTCGGGAACAATACTGTTTGCTACAAGTAGCTGAGAAATACATGGCGAGGACATACACACCTCTTGGCCTCATTCATTCTCTAGAAAACGCACATTGCGTCCACTGCTGCTACGGGAAATATTACAATAGCCTTATCTGGGGATATTGAGTAGTGCTAGTGCTTTTGGAATCTACTAGTATCTCTTGCTGGATGATTAAAGTTCCACTTTAAACCGACACAATATTCTGCACAGCAGAAACATCCACAATATGCTGCACATCAGAGTGAAGGGGCTTTGTGGTGTAGACTGACAATGCTTCAAAGGCGGCCTTCTGCTTCACTGTGTCAGCATACATCTGCCCTTTGCGGAGCTTGGTCTGATCACTGACCTTGCCTGTAGTTCCTCGCTTCGATGCAACAAAAGATCCACTCTGGAATGTTTTGTCATACTTGCCAGTAAGAGCCTGAATGTACCGGTCAGTTCCATCTTCCAAGGGATGCATGACTCCAATTGCCTTCATCATGGGCATCATAACAGGCATCATCAATCTGAAGTGAGCTGGCACTGCATCCGCATTTAAAGCAGAAGTGCCAGAGGTACCACCTGGGGACACCACCAGGACGTTGTACTTGGGGTTCTGACGAGCCCACTCAGCAAAGTACAATGCCGCGAATCCCTTAGTCTTGGCATACACAGCCATGGGATCATAACCACGAAAGTTTCCTTCAAGTTGGTTCTTGTACCAATCACTTGTGTCACCAAGCTTGGGAGTACCAATCATCATGAGGGGGACACCGCGAGCAGCTTCTGATCCTGCAAAGACAAGCTTACATCCCTGGGCCAGTTTGGGCTTGAGAGCCTCCACAAGCTGGATGTGTCCAATCAAATTGATTTGGTGGACATCAAGGACATGGTTGGGTCCAATCGGTTTCTTGGTCTTGTCATGACCAATGCCACCAGCATTGAGAAGGACTCCAGTTATCGGGTCATTGTCAAGAGAGTCCACAATCTTAAATATTGCTTCCTTGGAAGCAGATGCATCAAAGTGGACATACTGAAGCTTGGTCACATCCACTCCTTCCATGCCCTTAATCGAGTCAATGGCAGCGGAGGCTTTGTTTTCAGAGCGGCACCCCATGTAGATTTTCTTGGTGGAGGGCATCATGGCTAGACGACGGACGGAGTCAAGTCCCAAGCCACTGTTGGCACCGGTAACAAGGTAGATTGCAGACATGGTGATGCAGATAGCTGTTGGGTTGGGTTGGGTTGGGTTGGATATAGTTGTTTGTGTTTGTTTTTGCTTTTTGCTTTTGGATCCCTTGGATTTGTGAGAGGCAGAGAGACACAGAACAATTGAAGGATACCGTTACCCGTACCTTTTCCAACCTTTCGGTACGGTTCTCGCGAAGAATTGAGATCGTTCATCAAGTACTTCGAAGAGCATCAATGAACACGATATGACTTCTCGACAAGCTCGAACCCGCAGCACCATAGCAATACAAAGATACTGATGTCAACGTTCTCTGTTTTACCTTTCGATGATCTTCATCGAATGGTACGGCTACTGACTTTCTATTGAATTCCCTCCTGAGCAGCCTTTTGGCCACAAATGCTTCCGGCCTGGGCGGATCGAGGTTTTGGCGCGAGCTCTTTTGAAGTGGTCCTATCGTGCATGCATCGCGAAGGTTTTGGTCAGGGGGGTGGGGTATTCAAATACAGCTTTTTGACTCCGGGTGTGCACTCTGGTGATGGATATTACCTTCTTCTAATTGATAGTTTGAACTCAATCTACATGCAGCTAGTACTGCAGGTAGTAGACAGCAACTTTCATAAACTCCCATCCTTGTCCAATCTGACGTTCGAGGGCGAAGCCGGACGTAGCTTGCACAGCAGGTGATAGTTGGATCTCCTAGCTATCTAAGAAAATGCGCTGTTCTTTGAGCGACTATGCACTGCACGATGACGTCGGTGCAGCCAGTCTCGCAAACAATGTGGGATACTGGAGAGAGATATCGATGATTACCAGGCAACCATACTGCCACGAACGCTGGCTATAGCTCGAGAGACCAACCAATGACTGTTTGAATAAAATGCTATCTAATCAGCCTCCACAATTTTCTGCACAACAGAAACCTCCAAAATATGCTGCACAACAGAGCTAAAAATGGGGCTTTGTGGTGTAGACTGACAATGCTGCAAAGGCGGCCTTTTGCTTCACAGTGTCAGCATACATCTTACCACTACGGAGTTCGGTTTGATCACACACCTCGCCTGTGGTTCCCCGCTTCGAGGCAACAAAAGATCCACTTTGGAACGCTTCATCATATTTACCAGTAAGTGCCTGAATGTACCAATCAGTTCCATCTTCCAAGTTATGCATGACCCCAATTGCATTCATCAAGGGCATAATCACAGGCATCATCAATCTGAAATGGGCTGGCACTCCATCAGTAATTAATGCAGATGTACCAGAGGTGCCACCTGGGGACACTACCAGGACACTGTACTTTGGGTTCTGACGAGCCCACTCAGCAAAATACAAGGCAGCAAATCCCTTAGTCTTGGCATATACATCCATGGGATCATAACCAGGAAAGTTCCCTTCAAGTTGGTTCCTGTACCAATCACTTGTGCCCCCAAGCTTGGGAGTACCAATCATCATGATGAGGATCCCACGAGCCGCTTCTGATCCTGAGAAGACAATCTTACATCCCTGGGCTAGCTTGGGCTTGAGAGCCTCCACAAGCTGAACGTGTCCAATCAAATTGATTTGGTGGATATCAAGGACATGGTTGGGCCCAATTGGTTTCCCGGTCTTGTCATGACCAACGCCACCAGCATTGAGAAGGACGCCAGTAATGAGTTCATTGTCCTCAAGGTTCTTCGCAATCTGAAAGATCTCTTCCTTGGAAGCAGATGCATCAAAGTGGACATACTGAAGCTTGGTCACATCCACTCCTTCCACGCCCTTAATCGAGTCAATGGCAGAGGAGGCTTTGTTTTCAGAGCGGCACACCATGTAGATTTTCTTGGTAGAGGGCATCATGGCTAAGCGACGGACGGAGTCAAGTCCCAAGCCACTGTTGGCACCGGTAACAAGGTAGATTTCAGACATTCTAGAGCAGATATAGTTTGGTGTTGGGTAGGGTAGTTGTTTGTGTTTTGTGTTTTGCTTTTTGCTTTGATAGCTTGGATTTGTGAGAAGAAGAGAGAGAAATGAGGAACAATTGAACGATACCGGTGCTGTTTCCAACCTTCACCTCCTGGCTGATCTCGTGAAGGTTTTGGTCTCGTGAGCAACGGGGTTTTAGGCTATCAACGGGAAGCCAGTTTGGTTTCGTGAAGGTTTGGTCGTTTGGTCTCGTGAAGGCGAGTATCCATGAATGGAAGTATCCATGACTGAAAATGCCTGGAAAGACACCATTGCATGCCATCATTTTGATCAAAATGGGGGGTTTAGAGTAGGTGGATTATCTACGGAAGCCAGCGATGATCATCCTCCCAGTCCTGTAACGGGGGTTTAGGGTAGGTATATTTCTGATTGATCATCCTCCCAGTCCTTGGTTAGCCCATGGTGATCCCACCGCCAAGATAAGAGCCTGACTCTCTGATATCCTGAAGGCATCAAAGTCAGCTCCACCCATAAACAAGGGAAATATACCGGCGCCTTTCCTTTAACGTAGCATCTCATATTAGGAGGTATCATGGTACCTCCCCTTCCGCTGTTTGGGCTGACTGAGTGCTGCTCCAGAGTTGAGAATGCACGGTTGGCTGGTGTAAATACACCAACATACAGCGTGGGGTGTTTCTTTTGAAGCCTGCGACGCTTACTACAATCAATATAGCAGGTAAACCACGTCTTATGATCCAGTGACTTCATCTCATTCCCATCAAGCCGATTGCGAACTGTCTCAGCTGGAAGAATTGCGCCGAAACACCCATCCGCTGGAACCCAGCCTGAACTGGGATCCAGAGGGTTTCGAGGTGTGAGGTGAAAAACACAATGTTTCTGAGTGGCAAGAAATGCTTCTCCAGTGATTTTCCCATCAAGTATTCCCAACTCTTTTCGCAGTCGCTCTGTCCGAGGTCAAACAATTATGAGTGACAAGAATACAGCAGTGCATCCATCTTCCAGTGTACTTACTCTGTTCTTTGGGAGGTAGCTTGTTTGGGTCTGCCCACTGTTTCGCAAGCAGGCTTTTTACACTGTGTAGGAGGTGTTCTGGATCCTCTTTCCCCGTCGGCTCTGTCCTTGTGTCTGCTTGTGTCTCTGTGCTTGCTAAGTTTGGCTCGGTACTGGATAGGACCAGTGGCTGGATGCCCAGGCTTACCTCGAATACATGCAGGCAAAGCCGAGGCTGGATCCATATTGTGGGGAATAACGGGAGTAAAATAGTCAGTAGTTGCCCAGTACCTGTGACCCTGTTGGAGTTTGCATCAATAGTGGCACCGGTACCAGTAGAAAGCATTTGTGTTTGCAGTGCTTTTGCGACATTGCTTCCCGTAGGATGGAAACCAACTTGACCACCAATGGAGGAAAATTTTGGCAGAATCGTGCCTAGACTTGGCGCCCTCCTACTTTTACGCACGACGGATTGTAGGCTAAAGGAAAACATGATGGCTTCTTCTCGGGTTGCTGGTCTTGAGTGAGTATACAGTAATTTTCAAGGGCGGCAATGTGCCTGGCGTGCTGATCAACAGGAAAATGAACTAATGCAACCAGGTGATCGACTTGCTTTGGAGGACACGAAGTTGCTTCGGAACGGCACTTCTTTTTTCAAGACTGCTTGTTTCGTTTCAGCGTTCCCAAATTGTGCGATTCTTTTGCATTGGTTCAGATGGACTTTTGCAAATGTTGCGATTGCATATTCCCACGCTAGTGAGCTGCATGTCAATGCCTATCGATTGCGACAAAACGATTCACACCTAGCTTGCTGTCTAGCTGGTCAGTGCTGGATTTGGCAGAGCCATATGCATCGCGTGGCATTTCTCCGTTTTTACTCCACGCTCTTCTTCCTCCGTGTCACGGTGCCGAAATATTCCACGCTACATGTCCACGCGCGCCATCAGATCCCAAAGGGGACTGGACTCATCCAGTTGTTGAGGTTGGCACGTCTGAGAGCCCATCCAGAGGCGACGCCCAAGGGTCGGAGGCACCAACCTGCCACCACAACCCAAAGACACGCAAAAGCAAAACCAAAAATGAAGCGTAATAATAATAAAAGCAAGACCAAGACGCAGCAACAGATCAGCCGAGAACAGCGCTTGGGCCTGGTATTTGATATCGACGGAACCTTGATCCTCGAGACGGAAAACACGGCAGAGGAAATCGTCTTGCGTCCAGGAAGCATGGAGTTCCTGCAATGGTGCCAACAACGGGGCCATGCATTGGCACTGTGGACCGCCGCCAGTGACTTTCACTTGGATCGTTGCGTGAAAACCATTTGTCCGCTCGTTGCCCCACACGACGACAAGCCTTGCCAAGGCGCAAAATGCAACAAAACGTTTGAGTTTGCCTGGTGTCATTCCAAGCTGAAACAGCAGGAGCAAACAAAACTGACCTTTGATGGTATGGACCATAACGACGGACTAGGATGCCAGTGGTGCCGTTGGTATCGTCATTCTTGTGACCGGTGCCAGTGTCACAACTACAGTACACTTATGCATGTCCCTGTCGGTACACGAAGGACTTGAAAAAGGTTTGGAAGGCTGCGCGTTGTGCGAAAGGCAAGCAACATCGAATGTTTGGCCGAAAGGAGCGGACTTTGATGATTGAAAACACGCCTCAGCAATGCATCGACAACTTTGGAAACGCCATTTACGTTCCCACATACGATGATCCAGCATCCGCATCGTTCACAGCAGAACAAGAGATGTGGGAGCGACTCAAGAAGTTCCTGGTGCAGGAGCTGGAACAAGCTCCGGACATCCGCGAGGTGCGAAAGTGTCGGCGGCTACATGGATTTACCGAATCTGGCAGGCCACACGCCTGTTTCCAACAAGATTGGTGGTACGCGGATGATGATGACGAGGAAGCAAAGGGCGATGGAACTTATAGTGACGACGGAACATAATAATACGAGTCGAGCAAAAAGTCTACACTGTTATTATACATTACCATGAACACTACCTAACTGTATTCCACCGTGTCATTACCAGTGCCGCGACCAGAAAGAGCAACGGATGCCTCATTGGATGGAATCAAAAATAAGAGCCAGTCCAATATTTTTTGGGGTGTGGGCATCGTCGTGTGTGGTCGTTCTTCGGTCGCTTGCAAGGCACGCCAGCTCGCACGACAAGGGTTGTCTCGCGAGCTGCAGTCGAATCAATCATCATGAACCGCTCGAGGAATCGATCGCCTCTTGCGTTTTACGACACCAGCAGGGTTCTTGCCACTTGCAACTGACGCTGCTGTTGCTTGAACTGAGCCAATTGCGAGTGTCCTCGCACCTTGATATCCAGCTTCTTGTACTGTTCCGATAGAACTCTCCATAGCAACACCACAACCGGCGGCCGTTGTTCTTGTTGGACAGCGGCATGTCCTCGCAGCGTCTGTAGCCGTTGCGTCCAATTCGTGTCGTCCTCCAACTGTGGCGTGGTCGTCTTCTTCTTGTTGTGGGTGTTGGTACTGATTTTGAAAAAGATGCTATCGGTGCGCAACAGTCCTTGAAACTGGGGCTCTTCGTCATTCAAATCTTCCAACCAAGGAGTGTGCTTGGCAAAGGTACTGTTTTGATACTCTCGTTTTTGTGTAGTGACGGTCGTCTCGTGAGACTTGACCGTTCGTCGAGTATTCCTTCGCAGTGTTCTTTGCTGTCTTGTTGGTATTGTGGATGAATTGCCCGTGTCTCTTTGTAGAAACAAAAAGCTGGCAAGGTGCGGTTGATCTGGGTTGTAGTTGTTTTGGTAGTGTGTGAAACTGAAAATGGGTCTGGAAAGAAGATCGTCCACATCCAAGATTCCCGTGGCCATGAGAATGGTGACAATCACATTGATGACAAGAATTTTGGTGAACCTGTTTTTCCCAGTGTCTTGTTTGGACTTGTCTGTTGAAGAAGAAGTAGCAGTCACAGCTGCTGCTGCTGACCTTGCCTGCCTGTTTTGATAAGGCATGGTTGATTTTTCTTGGAGCAGAGGCAAAATGGCAGATTCCAAGTCAATTTCAACCTCTACATCATAATCTTGTATTTCTTGTGATTGAGGTGCTGTTGGAAAGAGTGTGATGGTCTGATTTTCTTGCTCTTCTTCATCTTCAAGATCAGGGTCTAGAATAGGCTCCCAATTTCCTGCACTGGATTCATCTGACTCTTCCAGAAACGGATCATCTTCTATATAGTGATTGTGGGACAACCAACTGTTGGCACTGACCAAGTCCATACTAGAAGCACCCACCGATTGGACTGTTCCTCCACGATTGTCTGCCACGGCCGTGATGTCATCGTCGTACACTTGAGAGTCTATCGACATCATGGTGGTATTTGCCGTAGTGGGAGTGTCTGGCACAATGGCTAGAGTCTTCGGATGAGTTCTCTTGGTTACCACCGGCACTGGTGTAGTGGACTCCCAGCCTTCTTCTTCGTCTTCCACGGTCTCTTCCACGCTTGACTGTTCTTGATCTTGATCTTGATGTCCCTCCTTCTTCTCCTCCTCTTCTTGTACTATCATCAAAGGATCCTTTCTGTTTGTTTGTAGTAATGGAGGTGACTGCGACGGCGAGAATATCCCTGCACAGTATAGAGTAGCAGCAGGACTAGCACTAGCACTACTAGAAGCCGAATCACAATCAGAATCAGACCAAGGCGCCAAGACACTTGGTCGACTACAAAATAAGAACACCATCACTTCAAACAATACTAGTAGCTAACCAGCTAGCTAGTAGCTACTCCTTCTTCTATCTGCTGCTGTCGCTCGCTCTACGGTAAGACAAGGATGATGCGATGGTTTGTCCTGATACGATATCAACAGTGGTGATGTCGTCGTCTCTTTCTTGTGCACAGCGCAAACTGCGGACAGACTTACGCTCTCATTTCTTGCTGCGCTCCCTCCACTTTCGTGCTTGTTGGCTTGCTGGCGGCTCTGCCTTCAATAACCATTCAAACGGTCCGACCAAAAACTAATTAAATCATCGTCCAATCAAAACACCCTTGGTTCGAGCCGGCATGCATAAGCAGAATGCACGACGTCATTAAGTACGATATTTTCCGTCAAAGCTCTCTCAAAAGTGGTATGAAGATTGCCAATGACGATTGCAGGATCGGAGGTCGGCAAAATCCAAATCAACACAAAGAGCCAAGCCAAGAGAAACTATTGAGTATTATAATAGCAAGATGAACCGACTGCTGTGTGGTACTAGTATTACTAGTCGAGCACCACTCCTATTCTTGGCCACCGTCACAGCAGCAGCCACAACCAAGAACAAGACGAACAAAACAGAGAATGAAGCCAACAAAGAAGAAACCTTGAATGGCCGCACGGGATTACTCTTTCTGGGGACGGGGTCGTCGACGGGATGTCCCAAACCACTCTGTACTATGATCTTTGGCTTAAACAACAACAATAATAACACTACGCCAGCAACACAAATAGACCCCCAGTTGAAAGCAGAGTTTCACCATCGCTGTCAAACGTCCATGGCAGCCATTCAAGGAGGAGATCCCAAACACAACAAAAACTATAGAAACAATCCAGCCTTGCTTCTGTCACTCTGCAACACTGATACTGATACAGACAATACTACTACTAGTAGTGATCAGAAATGCCACAATATCCTGATTGATGCCGGCAAGACGTTTCGAGAAGCAGCGCTACGATGGTTTCCCGAACATCAAATTCAAACATTGGATGCCATTATTCTCACGCATCATCACATGGATGCGGCTGGAGGACTCGACGATGTCCGAGGATTTCAAAAACTGACGTACACGAATAATCGTCCGAAAATGACACCCATGCCACTCTACTTGTCCCACGATTGTTTGGCGGATGTGTCTCAACGATTTCCCTGGTTGTTTCCCAATCAACAAGCGACACCGTATACGTCTGGAACGCACACAACCGCCGATAAACCCATGGTTCAACGACACGTGGCATCCTTTGATATTCAACCATTTACATCCTTTACACCCATGACCATTCACGGACTCGAAATTACACCCCTTCCTGTCTGGCACGGCGAGGATTTGATCAGTTACGGATTTGCGTTTACACTCGGCAAAAACAAACAAGTCCTGTACATTTCCGATATTTCTCGCATGCCCGACGATACACTCCAGTATATTCGTCAAAAGTATCCAAACGTCGACGTGCTGATTATTGACTCCTTGATGCCGGAAAAATCACATGCCGTACATTTCAGTCTCCAACAGGCGCTCGTAGTGGCACGACAAGTGGGAGCAAAACAAACGTATATTGTCGGAATCAACTGCGATGCCTTTTCGTTGCATGATGACATGAATGCACAATTACAACGGGAACAAGATATTCCGGTCCAGTTGGCACACGATGGACAGATCCTAGTGTTGGAATGAAATGAATTGAAGGGAAACAGTGGCGGAACTGCACCGCAAAGAGATGGATGCTAACGAATGATCGTCTTGCTTCTACAATATACACAAGCAAGAGGGAACAGCTTATTAGCTAATAGTCTAGCTGATTTCTATGGTTTCACGTTTTCGTTTTTGTGGTACAATGTCTCTTTATATCAGTATTAAAGCATTTCCTGCGATCGAGAGCTACGGTGACGTGCAGTGCCAGAGCTACAGCTCTTTCTTGATGACTGGTACTACTGGCTGAGGAGGGTTCAACTTGAGTGAAAGCTCTTTCAATGCCATGAGCTGATCCACCATTCGTTGCATGGACTTTTCATCTGTCAACTTGCCGTCCTCGTCGAATGTCCCGTCAAAGCCAGAAAGCAGCACCTCCGGCTTGTTGAGGACAAACAAATCCAAAAACACGGCCACTTGACGTAAATGATACTGCGATCGACCACCTTTCAGGCCTCCACCTACACTAATCAATGAAGCCGCCTTGCCTCCGAATCCGGTATTGCCGGGAATCCGGGATCCCCAATCCAGGGCATTCTTGAGTGCGGGTGCAAAGCTGTAGTTGTATTCCGGCGATGCCAACAGAAACGCATCGGCATTCATCATTTGCTGCAGCATCGCTTCCACTGCCGGATGCTTGTCGTCTTCCGTATCCGAGTTGAAAAAGGGGATTTCCGACAAATCCGCAATCTCCATTTCGATTCCAACCTTTGGTGCTTCCGAGGCCATGTACTGGAGTGCCTCCATGTTCTTGGAGGACTTGCGAAGGCTCCCACAGATTCCAAGGACCTTGATCATGCCACTTGCGACTTTCATTCTCTTCGTTATTGTTGCTCTTTTTGCTTGTGTTTGTTGGGGCAATGCTCATCCCACAAAGAGTGTTGTTGAATTTATGATGGTCTGTGCAGAACTTTCGACATGAAAAAACGATGCGACTTCGCCGATGCCTTACTCGGCGATGTGGGGAGCTTCCAAGATTTCCGAAGAATGACATTGAGCCCTCGCCTTACTGTAGCTAGTTCGGACCGAACACGAACGGAGTGACAGTCAGCCATGGCTTCACATGCATGGTTCGATATAAGGGGGTTTAGAGTAGGGTTCGATGGTTCATGGAATTGCCGCGATTGCTGAACACTAGCAAGCTACCCTGGCATCGTGCTTATTAGGCTGTGTTATTGATGAGCTCCTCCGGTGATCTGCATTAGTCAATGGAGTACAACTCATGGAAGTACTGCGGTTGAAATTCCTCCAAACAGACAAAAAGGATCGGATCGAACAAGGAACACTCTATTGAATCGAGTCGAGTCATGAAAGAGGAAAGAACAGAGTGTAGTAGTGCGGGTGCCGTCGTTGTGACCAGTCTGCTACAAGAAACCATTCAAGCAACCGAACCCTTTTCATCTACGAGCGCTTCCAATGCCACCTCTAAGGATGAATTTGCTATTGCAAGCCTTGCATGCCCAGACCTTTTGAAGCTTGTGAACCTTGATTTTGTCTACGTCTTTGATAAACCAACCAATGAGACCAATCTGAACAGGCTCCAAGAGTCTCTGGGTCAACTACTTCAACACTATCCCACCCTCACAGGCCGCATCAAGGGACATCAAATCCAGTTGAACAATCAAGGTGTAACCTTTTATATGCAAAGCTCCAAGAACAGCATTCAGGATGTTCCAAATGATCCTCCTGCAGGACCACCCTACTGTGTCATTCCAGTACCCGGAGAACAGATTGTTGGCAAGGCTCCTTTGATGACAGTCACAGTGACACAATTTGTGGATGGATGGACTCTGGGTGTGGTAATGAATCATTTGATAGTGGATGGTTGGACATTTGCCATGATCATGAAGGATTGGAGTGATCTCTTCAATGACAAAGCTATTGAGCCTGTCTTTTACAAGCTTCCGGAAAGTGTGGTCAGGACATGCTCATCACAGGAAGAGGCCAATCAGTTGGCAGATACTTTGGCGTGGAAACCATCACCCTGGAGTAAACAGCTTCTGTTCAAGTTTGTCATGAAAGTTTTGATTCCGCTATTTTTTCAGCGGGATAGGCGGCTTGGAAAGGAGCCCAACCGGCTGGTGCTGTCATACACTGATGACGAGGTAAAACAAATCAAAGAAAATGCAAACGCCAACACCAAAACCTGGATCAGTACCAATGAAGCAGTATTGGCTTTCATATGGCAGCTCATGTTGGATGCAGCAGAGCTAGATGTTTCACAGCGGGAATGCCTTGGCTGTGTCTATCCTGTGAATCTACGTGAAAAATTGCCCGGAATTTCACCGAGGTTGGCTGGGAATATTCTGACTCACGCTACCGTTATTACTGACATGTCAAAGAGGAGTTGTGTTCATTCCAACAATGAAGACTCACTCGAGCAACAACTACACAATGCTCTGCGGGACAGCCTCAAAGCAGACAAACTTGAAGCATCCCTCAGGATTCAAAACCACCGCTGGTCTGACTGCAACACAGACTTTGTCACACAGGAAACCAAACAATTGGGTGATCTTGCTCATTGTCAATACCCAGGGTGCATGCATTGGAACTGGCAAGTGTCCAATCCATATTACGAAGTGGATTTTGGCACTGGAAAGCCAATGCGGGGTGTTCTTTGGAACTGGGTCCAACCAGTTACCGTAGTCCCAAGAGCAGGTGGTGGGTTAGAGATTTACATAGACAAGACCAGCCGAGGGCATGTTCGTTGGGTAGCTCAAGTGCAACGCAACAAAAGTCCGTGGCCGAAAGTTGGAAACATCATGGGAGGCATTGCAATGGTGGGGTCTATCGTATTGACAGCTCTTCTTGAAATGAGTTATTTTTCTGGACTGCTATGGATACTGGTTTTTGGATGTCCCGGCTTGGGTGCTTGGCTTTATCATTCTTGGCAGGTGAAGAGTGCAACAGATCGCTTCTTTGACCACATTGTAGCAAACGCACACCAATCGCTTACCTAAAGCTTCGAATGTATCTAGCAAACTCGAAAATGCAACTGCTCTTCTATGGTCCTGTTTTCTGGCTGGCTCGCCGCAACTTTGATGTAGTCTCCAGGAGGGGAATACTAACGAACTAGATGTTTGAGGCAGAGCTCTCCTCGCCCCACAGAACCGACATGTAGGAATGGCCAGTCCACAATACCAGGTAGGATGCAACTACGCTGCCCAACTGCACCTTGCCTTGGTTGATAGAGGAACCTGTAGTGTCCTCTCAAGCTGTGAGCTAGCTAGCTAGTAGTGGTCAATTGTAAATGGAAGCTGTAGGCTTCTGGTAGGCAGCGGCAAGCAAATTTGATGGCTTCCAATCTGTGGCTCCTTCTGTCCTAACCAAGCTAAACAGTCTTCCAAGAAATTTCCAAGATATTTCGAGCCCAAGATAAAACAGTAAAACAGGCTTATACCAGAAGTTGCTACATATCATACATGTACTGTACACGTGGTGGATGTTCAGAGTTACTATAACAACGCTGTCTCGAGCTGGAACAATCACTTCAAGTCGGAATGACACTTTCTTGAACATGGTGAGCGAGTCACTCATCAGTGGTCGAGTCGAGTCTTTCTATGGCAACAGCAATACAATGTCATGTACTGGTAGTCTACTAGTACATTGTACAATACTAGTACAATGTTTTGTACCAGTTACCAGTACGGTTCCACTTAGTCTTGGTAAACCCTGGAACCTGGACCTTGGTCGATAAAGCTGTCGATAATCCTCCTTGCTCAGTGCATAGCAACCACTCGACTAATAGGGAGTACATGTACTGTCGCCAAGTTGATAGTTGATTTCTTGCTTCTTGCCACGGCCACCTCATCGCTTAGGCGATGTGCTTACCAGTGAAAATATGCTACATGTATGTATGTGGTAGCCACTTGAAGTCCGTGGTGTCCTGACCGACACCCAGCTTTGGAAGTAGTTAAATGTACCTGCGACCTGCAGGCCTTCGGGTAGGCAACAAAGGCAGGAGGCAGGTCATAGCTGTAGGTCTTGAATCGTGAAGCTTTAGATGAGGAACCAGTGGACTTTTTAGTAAAAGGTTTCCAAGTGGTCTTCAAGGTATCCAAGAAGAATTGGAATTATGGAATTATGCGACGATCGATAATTTTCTTGCAAAGCTCTGGTGGGAGCCTGGCAATTGCGACAATAATGTTGGCACGTGCTTTGGCTTCGTTTGCTTTTGCAACCAGTTTTCCAGTTTTCCATTGATGCGAGTTCTAGAGCTAGTTCTAGTTTGCCAGTGGACAGTGGACAGTGGATAGCGCATCGGTCGATTACGGTGCCAATTACCAAACTTGCCTTTACGATCAAAGCACAAAGCACAAGGCACGCCTCATACTGTGGCGCTGTACTGAGAGCACCGTATTTTTTTAAAAACAGGCGAGACCACATACATACAGTAGTTGTCAACGCGGTTTCTGTGGAAACTTTCCAAGGTCTCCTTTCCACTGAGGGGTTGAAGGAAACCTCCCTTAATTCTGGTGTTCGATATTTATGTCTGCGTGCAGTCATAAGATGACCGCACTTCGGATAAGACATTCGAGCGAACACCAACACACCAACACCAAAACGATCTTGCGATCTTCACATCTTCACCCCTCCTCAACTGCATTGCTTTTCTTGGTGGCTTCGAGGTATAGCAGCTTCCATAGCTTCCATAATTTCATAACTTCCCAAAGCTACCGTCGTTCCTTTCTTCACTTTTCTTCTCTGACCAACAGTACCCCCTTGGCACAACCATGGGTCTCTTTAGCAAGCTCTTTCCAAAGAAGAAGAAGTCTAATGCCGCCACAACAGGCAAGGATGCAGACAATGCAGACACAGTCACACTTGCAAGCAGCACTCGGAGCAAGGAGTCTGACAGTGACAGTTCCAGCCGAAGCATGACAAAGTCCAAAAAGACCAAGAAGAGCTATTCTGGTTCCACTCCTCCACCAAAGCCCGACAATCCGAAAGCAGTGGCAGCCAAAACCATGGCAGCCAAGTTCATCGAGTACCTGAATGCACGTGACCCTGACGCGTTGAAGGAAGGTGTCCAAGACAGTTGCATGGTAGTCTTTGCAGAGCAAGAACTGCCCTTTGATGCCTATGTGGATGAAGCAATCAAGATTTTTAAAGCGTTCCCTGATTTCCACATTGAATGTCCAGGTGGTCTTCAAGTTGAATATGATAGCAAGCAGAGGCTCTGCTGCGTTGCTCGTGACTGTGTTGCCAGTGGGACCCATGATGGAGCCCCCTATGCATTTGGTCCCTTTGAAGAGGTTGAAATCACCAACAAGTTCATCAAGAATGATCCAGAGACGTACTACTTCTATGTCAATGACAAAGGGAAGATATGTGATTTCCAGATTGAAGCCAAGGAGGGAGACATGACAGGACCAGCAGGCTTCTACCAACAGATTGGAGGATTTCCTGTCTTGTAGGCATTCTCTGCATGCTTTGCTGGCCTTTGTTGTTTTGTGTCATGCCAGGTTGATTGTCAGTCCTCCATTTGGGCTGACACAAGCCCCTTCCTCCGGCTCACACCTCCAAGCTCCTCCCCTGGCTTGCACCTCCAACGCTTTTTCGTCTTCTTCTCCATACTATATAACATGTAAGACCATTCTACAGTTATTCATGTTGCCGCTCTCTACTTTTACGTATCTACGAAGCATCCTAGCACAAAGAAACTTGCTTTCTGCGCCTTCCGGGTTAGCAGGCTCATTACGGGGGCCGTATAGCCGCTACCGTTAGGAGACTGGAGAAATCAACGCGGATTTGGATGGAGTGGTACATGTTCCGATATGGATGTTACCTTTGGAAGCCTGCGACCAACCTATTACAAGGAACCGTACCAGCACTGGCAAAGCGGCGGACAGTAGAATTCAATCTGTTTCAAAGCCAGCCAAAGCAATCAAAGGAGGTACCACGCTAACGCGACATGTAGCCAGCCTAGTTCAGCACAGCAGCACCTAATTATGCTAAGCGTACTGTAATGTTTCTAGCTAGAATATATCGACGCTTTGAACTGTGCAGTATCGTTCCCTTTCCAACTTCCAACCAGCCAATGCAACCCGGCCCTTACACCATGACAAACTCGTATTGCTACAGCGGCATGATCATGAGGAAGCTCAAGCTCAGTCCTTTTTCGATTTAAGCCCGTTCAGCTGCTATTCGATTCCTCGGAGATGCTGGTCCTCGTACCGCTGGCTTCCCAAAGGAAACAGGAAACGGGAAACAGAATTTTATCATTTTATCAAAATTAATGGGTTGAGAGCTCTGGCAGCAAGGCTGCAGAGGTATTCCATCTTAGTTAGGAACGGAAAGGATGGGATCTTCTTTTTCATTTTGGCATATAGTGCTCCTCCAATTTGCTTGCATTGCGCTACATAATGATGTATCTGAGTCCAAGAACAAGAGTGATGACAGCATCTGTGAGCTGTGGGCTGTGGGCTGTTGAGGACGGTACGGCACAGCCTACAATAGCCCGAAAAGCTGACTGGTACTACAAAGTCATTATGCAGTAGACGCATGACCCAAAACTTGCTCTACCCTTTGCACGAGTGTAGGGAAGAGGGATATTGCAGTATGTCCAATGCGGTCTTGCATGTGCTTGGTTCGGAGCACCACGGTCTCTTTGCCCTCTTCCAACTCGAATGGGCGACTTTTAGGCAGTGTTTGTGCGACGTTTGGAAGGACTCTCAGTTTCCCGACGCAATTGGTCGTCTTGGTATGACACGTCTTTCAGAGTCATGCAAGAAGTTAGCTAGAATTTCAGAATATTAATTTTGTTCGACTTTGTGTTATTTTGGTCATTATTTCGCAAAACAAAGCACGTATGAAGGAGCATTCCCCTTCTCCTTGGGAGGAGTCATTGGTCGATTGGTGAAATTAAGGCTTCAAATTCAGATGTTTCATCAAGAGAACGTCAGAATTAAAGACGTACCACTTCAAAGCATGATCATTGACTGATCACGTCCTTGAGCCTTCTTTGTTTGCTGTCGCGACTTATTGAGTAATCTTATCTATGCTTTACATGTCCGTTCCTGCTCATTCACCATATCGCTATGACTTTCCGGGGAAAGAGTATTTAATTCCTCTTTCTAAAGGAATGCTGACGTGTCGGATGTAATGTTGTCTTCGCAAAACGAAATCCCAGTGGTGTTCTCGACGTGGTCTTCTCTCACAATTTCCTTCCTTTATCAAAATTAATTGCATCATCGAATCTGATTCCGGTAGCTCCCTTTCCTCATAAAACTTCCACTTCGGTTAGCTAGCTAGCAGATCATTCTTCCACAGTTGCGCACCAGCTCCCCTCTCCAGCAAACCCCACTCGAATCGTCCAAGCTTAACCATGGGTCTCTTCAGCAAGCTTTTTCCGAAGAAGGAGTCAGCCGCTACAGGTGGTAAGGATGACGATACCGCCACTCTGAGCAGCAGTTCCAGCGAAAGGGCCCGAAATCAGGATTTTAAGAATCCAATTAAATTGATCAATTCAAAACCTAAATATAAAACCGAAACCAAAATATAAAACCAAAACCAAAATATAAAACCGAAAACAAATTACTATGGTAAATAACTAGTGAAATCAAGCCGAAACCTAAATATAAAATCGAAACCTAAATATAAAACCGAAACCTAAATATAAAATCGAAACACAAGTATAAATCGGAATTTGGTGTAAATCGCCATTTCGGGCCCTTTCAGCCACAAAAAGAGGTCTATAAGCAGGAGACATTCTAAAAAGACCATTAATAGCTCCCAAAATCCTGCTTCGCCAAAACCAGATCTTCCTGAAGATGAAACCACCAAAATGGTGGCAGCAGGATTCAACTGGATTGACTCTTTGAATACCCACGACCCTGAACGCCTCAAGACAGTTGTCACAGAGAGTTGTATGGTGGTGTTTGCAGAACAAGAATTGCCCTTTAGTGCATACCTGGAAGAAGTGAACAAGATCTCCGGAGCTTTCCCTGATTTTCACATTGACTGTCCAAATGGTTTTAAGGTGGAATATGATAAACAGCAGAGGGTCTGTTGTGTGGCTCGTGATTGTGTCGCCAGTGCAACCCATACTGGAGCCCCCTATGCTTTGGTCCCTTTGAAGAGGTTGGAATTTCCAACAAGTTTGTCCAGAATGATCCAGAGACATACTACTTTTATGTCAATGACGAAGGGAAGGTATGGGATTTCCAGATTGAAGCCAAGGAGGGAGACATGACGGGACCTGCAGGGCTCTACCAACAGATTGGAGGATTTCCCATCTTGTAACCAGTGGTCCTGTTGTCTTGTGACTTTCTTGTGTCGTCTGAGGTTGTAGATTGCAAGGCTGCACCAAAATACATATAGGATTGATTGTCAGTCCTCCATTTGGGCTGACACAAGCTCCTCCCTTGCTCACACCTCCAACCCTTTACTCATCATCTCCATAGTATCATTATAGGTATTACTTTTCTATAGTTCTTCATGTTACCGCTCTCTACCTATGCTCTCTTGTTTTGTGTCTCGTGTGGTTCTGGATGTTGACGTTGTAGATGTTGCTCAAACCCCGCTACTTCCACGCACTCTTGCGTTCAAGTCAGTACAGCCCTCGCCACACGGCTCGCGCGGGATGATGGGTTTCGTCTAATTTTGTGAAACCTGCATGTAAACCTGGTAAGGAACGAAGCCACGCCGATGAATTCATGAATCATTCGCAGCGCTGGACTCGGAGGTAAGAGTGCTTGTCGCTACATGTACATGTATCTCGTGATGAGCCATCAGCAACCACCCAGTCAGGCAACCCTTCACACAGCAATCCGTGCAATTGTTGGTCCTGTTTGCTTAGCGTGCCTGGGTGGCATCAATGCCGAAGACGGCTAGGAAGCTGCCTCGTAGGTATCCACAGCCAATTGTAGCTGCTGGTCTTGCGGCGGCTTCTTGGGAAATAAAGACGAAGCATTTCTATTCTAGCTATAGCTAGTAGCTGGCACGGGGTTCACCCAATCCTACTGGCCAGCAAGAACCTTGTGCTTTATGGATTCGGCTGGATTCGATGATTCATTCGTGGTCGCGTTTCGCAGAACAGCGCGAGCACTGAGCCTCACCACTGAGCCGCGGCACCACGACCTTCGCAGGAGAGCCTTGACAGCAGCAAGCAAAACTCACAACATTGCAAGCTGAGGTTCCGCATCGAAAGACAGGCACAATGAAGCTACATGGAAAGGAGGATCTGGAAGAAGCTGTCAGAGATGATGTTACGGTGACTGCGCACTTCCAAGAGACGGTCCGGGCTGCAGCACCAGCTGCTTGTAATGGTTACGAATATGTTCCTGTGGGCCTTCACGAAATTGACATCATGAAGCTCCTGAATCTTGACTTTGTTTATATCTTTGACAAGCCAACAAATGCGGCCAACCTTTCCAAACTCAAGGCATCACTGTGTCAATTGCTTCAACACTATCCCACCCTTGCAGGCCGCATCAAAGGAGATCAAATAGAGTTGAACAACCAAGGAGTGACATTTTGCGTGCAAAGCTCCACAAACAGTATCCGAGAGATGCCAGAAGATCCTGCTACAGGACAACCCTACTGCTTCATACCTGTACCCGGAGAACAAGTGAAAGGCAATGCTCCTCTGCTGACAGTCACAGTGACACAATTTGTGGACGGGTGGACACTAGGAGTTGTGATGAATCATTTGGGTGCGGATGCATGGACATTTTGCATGTTTATGAGGGACTGGAGTCGCATGTTCAATGGTGATGGCATTGACCCTGTGGTATATCAACTCCCAGAAAGTGTGTTCCAGACTTGTGGATCTCACAAGCAAGCTGATGAATTGGCCAACTCCTTAGGCTGGCAACGATCACAGTTCAGTCAACAGATTGTTTCCAAGTTCCTCATGAAGACATTGGTACCCTTGGTTCTAAAGCATGATATTCGCCTTGGAAAGCGGCCTAACAGGTTGGTGCTATCATACACTGACGCTCAAGTCAAACAAATCAAAGCCAAGGCAGAAGCAAACTCCAAAACATGGGTCAGCACCAATGAGGCTGTCATGGCATTGGTCTGGCAACTCATGCTTGATGCAGCCGGTCTAGATTCTAATCATCGAGCAGGTCTTGGGAGCTCATACATTGTCAATCTGCGCAACAAGATTCCTGGTATCTCTGAAAGATTGGCTGGCAATGTGGTGACTACTACTTCCATGATTGTTGATATGACGAAGCAGGGCAACTTCACCGAGGGAAGCTCTCTGGAAGATCTACTACACAGTTCGATGCGGGCCAGTCTTGACCCTAAAAGGCTTCAATCAGCAATCCAGGTTCACAACTTCAGGTGGTCAAACGACAATCCATGGTTCATCTCTCATGAAAGCAAAGAAGTCGGTGAGATTAGCTTTGCTGGTGTTGCTGGATGCCTTGTGTGGAACTGGCAAGCTGCAAATCCATACTATGACGTAAACTTTGGCACTGGCAAGCCACTGCGTGGTATTCCTTGGAATTGGACCCAGCAAGCAGTTACTGTTGTCCCCAGTGCAAGTGGGGGCTTGGAGGTCCATATTGACAAGGGAAGCCGAGGACCTGTTCGATGGGTTGCCAAATTGCAGCAAGCCAAGAGCCATTGGCCAAGAATTAGAACCTTGATGGCTGGCATTGCCATTCTAGGTGCCATCCTACTCCATGTACTCTTGGAAGTAAGTCCTACCATTGCAATTCTGTGGTGTTTGGTGTTCGGATGTCTCTCCTTCAGTGCTGAAGCCCTTTTCCATCTTGAAGTGAAGGCTGCCCAGCAGCACTTTTTTGACTCCATTTTTGCCAATGCACACCTATCACTTAATAATTAAGACGCATAGCTTTCTTGTTGAGTTCATGTCCAGCGCTTGCTAGCTACGATAGAAAGCCATGAAACTGTTTCCATGGTCTTGCTCGAGGTCGCTTACTGCTGGCTAGCTCGTGGGGCTACTGGTTCTGAGGCAACTTGACAAAAGAAACAACTATCATTAATCCTCCTACTTATCTCATGATTTGAAAACTATACCTGTTGCTAAGATATGTAATTGATGCAGGCATCCCTAATCACCCCGGCAGCAACCCCAGCGCCCATGTACACATTAGCCGAGACCGCAAGCAAAAGTGCCCATAGCCAAGGTTGCGGGGGTCGATCGACTTTCTAACATCTTTACTTCTGAATGATGTTGGTCCACGAAGTTGAGGCGATCTCGTAGCTCTTTTGAGAGTCAGTGACCAATTTCGCGGATTCTTTCTCCGAGAGGGCAACCGATGCTACACCCCGGAGTTCTCGCTCCTCGGTTGCTTCCTTCTTGGGCACGACGATCACGCGGCAGACATCTTTGCTAATCCATCCAGCTTCATCCGTTGCTTTCAAAGTGATTTCGTAGATGCGCTGCTCGATGGCATCGTTGACGCAGAATCCACCCTTTGAGGAGGCGCAACGAGAGGGTTTGACAAACACCTGGGGGTTGATGGACATGGTTTTACGATCGCGCGTCTTGGCGAGATGCACGTTGTCATTGGAACCATCAAACTCGTTAGAATTGACGGACAGCTCAAGAGCAACTTTCTTCGAGCACGAATCATCCACCTGGTAGACGAATCCAGCATCGAAGATGTCACTGCCTTCTTCAACTACAAGAGTCTTCTTGTCACCCATTTGGGATCCTTCAAAGCCGCATGTTACCTCGGGTGCCTGAGTATCCATCTGGACGACAACTTGCTTCGAAAGTCCCAGAACTTCCCGGTCGTTGCATCGCTGAACGGGGGTCATCGAGATGGCGCTCTGACACACTCCAGACTCCTGCACTGCCATCTTTACATCAAGGTCTTGAGCTAAAGAGCAGTCATCGACGATGTTGGTAGCTCCTCGGAACAAACTCAATGCCTCGTTTGCATCGCGGAAGACTTTGCCCTGGAGTTGGTTTGTCTCGCCATTGTTTACAAATTCCAAAGCGGACGAGAATGAAAGTGTAGGTGGGACTGTTCAAATGTACAGAGCAAACCATCAAGTCAGAAAAACAAAAGAGATCGATCCGGGCTGCAGTTTGAGTTCGGAAACGTACACAGATCCTCCTCGCAGTTGTCGGCGACACCATCACCGTCTTGGTCGTGCCCATCGCAACCGGCGAACTTTGCTTTAGAGGGCTCAACATTGCCCAGCTGGCGACGTACAGCACCGCAGACCGAGTCGATGTGCTCGGTGATGACCTCCTCCACATGATCTTTCAACGTGTCTACACGATCATCGATGTGGTCTGCGAGTGCTTCCGTATTGTCCACATTCTGTCCCTTGATGGCAGCGATCCCGCCATTGAGAATAACCATGTTGTCATAGGACACCATGGTTTGAGAGTAGATCTCGTACCACCCAAAATCCTCAAAGCCCGGATAGCTATCCTCCAAAGATGAAAAGACTCGCTTTGAGACAAAGAACGCGACGGTTGCAACGACTGTGGAAACAGAACAACACAAATCAGTCAGTAATGTCGCGACGCGCCGAAAGCATCATCGGGCAAGGCATTCGTACCAACAAGAACGTTCTTTGCAACCGCACAGACTGTCTTGACACCTCCAGTGAGATCCTCAGGGCACTCAAAGTCTGCCGCAATGGAGTAGAACTCCTCCAAAGAATTCAAGGTCTGGGATGGGGAGTAACTGGCGTGAGGAAGATGGCACCAGTGGCGTTCGTACGATAAAATTCGATTCCAAACTTACCTGGTCAAAAACGTAAATGGTTTTGGAGAGTTTGTCGAGGGCCTTTTCTTGCACCTCGGCTTTGGACGTGGTCGGGTCATACGTCGTGAGTGTATCATTGCTGCAGCGCTGGGATGGGCTAGAAAAAAGTTGACTTACGTTCTTCAGGGGCATTGAGCTCCTCCGTTTCGCCTCCATCATTCGCTGAGATTTCTCCGCCACCGCTGCTTCCACTGCCCAAGAAACTATCAAGATTATTGAATTCAGTCTTTTCTCTCAGGAACTGGACGTCCTCGCAAATCTCCTCATCATCTCTGTGTTGGGATAAGTGCCGCGGGAGAAAAGGAAAGTCAGCATTCAAGTCAATCAGGCGATGGTTTGGCCACAAGTAGCTGGCTAGGGTCGTCATGAAACTCACGGGAAGTCCTCCTCAAAACCGAAGTAAACCCTAACCTGCCCGCACTGATCAGCGTCTCCTGTGTCTTCTAGTTCCGGCGCTTCGGACACATATGCAAGGTAAGCCTGCTTTTTCTTGCCAGTCGCCCATTTGACCTCTTCTGCCACGCAGGTTTTCAAAGTCGAACAGTCACGATGGTAGGCACAAAACTTTCCAGAGTACGCACTGCACGATTCCTGAGAGAACCCGGCCAACCCGGACGCTTTGGACTTGCATTTGCTGCAAAGAGAGGACCATGCAATGTGAATCATTCGTTTGGTATGGAACAATGCCTGTCAAAAATGCATGAAAACTGACCTTTCTCCAAGATCGCAAGAGAATTCAGTGCCCCAAAAATCGCCACTTCGTTGATATGGCTGGGAAAAAGTTAGAGAGAAAACGTGAGGACAGCAGCCCAAGTGGCGATGAAGGAACAAGGCGAACATGGAAACCACTTACCTGCTCCACGCAGCAGAATCCGGGTACCTTGCCTATATGCACGTCGATGCGAAAGGTCAACACCCGCGACAGTGGTGGCGAAGTCGCAAAAAGATAGTGGGCACTCACCAGTGGTTTCTGCGTGGGCACAGACCGATCCCACACTGACTTTTTCACCGACGAAAAGAGCAGCTGACTTGTCCATGTCGGTCGCAGACCTGAAGATGGTCTCTACCTTGTACACTCTCTCTTGATCGCACGGAAACCGAATGGTCTTGGTTTTGACCCTCCCTCTTGAGATGAAGGGAAGCTTGATTGCTCCAATAATGGAATCAGCAGGACACCTGTCCCCGATATCTTTATTTCGGAACTGTGCTTCGTGGCAGACTAGTTTTTTCCCTGAATAGACGTTGCAAACGGTATAGCTGCCACTGATTTTACATCTGATTTTGAGGTCATCGTAAGTCCTTTTCTTGCCCCCTTCAAAGATGACACTGCGAGACGATAGAGGAATAGTTTGAAGCATAGCTGAGAAAGCAGCCCCGTTTTCGCATCGAACCTGCACGACTTCAACTTACGAAGGTTTCTTCTCGAATTCACCCTTGTAATGTTTGTCGACCTTCATCCTGCATGTATCTCTGTCTTTGTAATGTGCGCTCTTTTTGGTGTAGCCGTTTTGCTTCTTGCTCCACGAGTACCAGTCAGGTTCAATGGACTTATTCTTGTTTCCGGTCTTCCAAAACTTAGCAAAATCCTTTGGCATCTTAAAGCTGTTGGTCGACTCCGCTGATTGCATCACGGACAAAGTCTCGAACTTGAAGTTGTTGTTCGAATTGTAGGGAGACTTTGGCTGGTAGTGACCATTTCTGGCTCGACTGTTCAATCCCGTTGGAAGCCGTGGGGCGCCACTTTTGTCAAAGAAAGACTATTGGAAGGAGCGATTCGATTCGGGTTAGCCAGGTTTTCAAAGAAAGACTATTGGAAGGAGCGATTCGATTCGGGTTAGCCAGGTTTTGTGCGAGGGAAGGAAATGAAAGGTCGATGGTTGCGTACCTTTTCGCCTGTATGATATTTGTTTTTTATTGTGCAGGTTCCGAAGAGCAACTCTGTGAGATGCACGAAATTGTAGTTTCGACGTTTCCTGTTTCTCTCAACAACTTACCTAGCTTCATGGCACATGCGACGTATTCTTCATGAACCTGGTCAGCAATGGCCTTCCTCTCATTACTTGCTCCGACCTTGTCCCTGCAGAGAAAGTTCGGCGGTTCTGTTAACATTGAGGTCTGAAGCTCGAAATTGCGTGCCGCGGACAAGTATTTGGGCATGCTTACCTGATCTCACTGAACATGATGTACTTTGTGGCACCTTCTGCTCGACTGCGGAGGAAACCGGCCGCCATGAAAGAGACAAGAGTTAGCTACGGTATACATGGCCAGCCGGAGCCCGCACAACTACTTTGTACGGTTTTTCAAGTCCAGAACTCACCAGACACTGGTCCACGTGGAGCCGTGGTATTCGAGGCTATAGTATTCGAGCAAAGAGCGAATATGAGAAAGGAAGGATGTGTAAGAAATCAGTTCGAGGGTAGTCCCTTTGACGGTGGACCCACATGACACTTACAATTTTTCGTCGTGGTTCTGGATCTGATGAAATTTCCCCAAAAGATCTCGACAAGTGTTATCAAGGTTTTTCGTTTTGTAGAAGTTCTTCTTGTCAAACTTCTTCATCACGTCGGTGATGCGCTTGATTTGCCCATACATGCCTTTATCCAACTTGGACTCAGCCTCATCGCTGATTTCACCGTCGTCGTTGACATACGGCCCATAAAAGTAGACCACAAGATCATACAAGGACCAAGTGGAAAGGCAGCCAACCATTTGCTCACAATGCTCTCGTCTCACATTCTTGCTGTTGAGACGGCGACGACGCTGTCCATCTGAGTCGACATAGTCTTCCTCATAGTCCACCTCAATTGTAGCATTGTTCGTGACTTCAACCTGTTTCTTGCTCGGAGCTGCCTTTTTGTGGAAGTGTTCAATCTTTTGCTGGATGTAGCCATGGCTTCCCTTTTGGAAAGCGTCGTGCAGGTCAAAATGGCGCTTGAAGCGTGGGTGAGTCTTGACTTTACGACCAGGGTCTAACTTGCTGTGGATCTTGGTGTGGAGGTCCTTGGTCTTCTGGGTAGCAGCGGCCTCCGATAGGTCAAATGTCACAGTCCCGTCAGCCTGGATCCTGGCTTCCTGGGGACTTTCATCAAGACGGCGTCCTGGAGCTCTACTGTCAAGAGCAGCAATTTCCATTTCGGCAATGCTCGAAGCCAAGCTACGGGTCTGCGCTAGCTTGTCTTGCACCGCCAGCAAGAGCTCTTGAAACTGAGGAATCATCAGATCGTTGTTTTCGTCCAAGATCGCGTTGATCACCGAGTCTACGGAATCCACCGTGGCGTTGAAGGACTCCATCTCTTTCATAAGCTTGACCTGCTTGGGCAGGTCAAAAAGATCAGGAGCAGGATCCTGCTTCACAGTGTCTACCATGGCCAAGAGCTGGTCATACTTGTCACCAAGGCTCGACGCTTCACCTTCAGTCTTTGAAGGGGAAATCTCGCCATCCTGGAAGAGAGCAGGGGAACTATCGATGGCACCAGGCAAGTTGGGAGCGGAATCGAGCTGTGGAGACAATGAAAAGATTCGCGATACGTGCGTGAGAAATGTTTCCGTGACCGTTGCCACCAAGATACACTGTGTACGGCACCGGACCAACGGTATATCGACAGCCCAGCACTTACCGCTACAGTAAAGGAAGGAAGCGCGAGGAGGAAGGAAAAGGCAGGGAAGCGCATTGTGGTGTTTCTTGTTGTCTGATTCTTCTTTTGTTTTATTGTTTTTGGTGCTGGGATGGTTTGTTGTTGTTTTGCTTTGGGCTTTGAGCAGATTGTGGGCTGAAGATCGTCGAGAATCCAAATCCAGAATCAAAATGACTTTCACACCTCCTTGGGCGTCAATCGCTTCATAATGTGCTAGCTAGTACCATACTTTGTTACTGCAGGTGTGCTGGGATGGTTCTCCTGCGGACTTAGAATGTAATGCAAGGTCGAATCGAACCGTCCCTAACTCTGAGCTCCGAAAGATCTTTTGTTGGTCTTGATGGCATGGGTTGAATAAATGGTTTATTAACAAGGGCATGGTATAAAGCTAAAGATATTATTATTGGGTAAGGGCAAGTGATGTTGTGAACACGGGGCCGTAATGAGTAAAGTTCCTTCCTCGATCCTCTACCTTCGAATGGAGTGTATAGGTTATCGCTGAATTAAAACATTAACGTTTCCTGCTCAGACACATCGTCAATCGGAAAGGAGACAAAGCACCTTGACTGTGCCCCTACTATCTAGCTAGCTAGCTAGTACAAGGCTTATCGTTTTGCGTTCTGTTGAAGGCACAAGGGTATCCCACCGTATGGAACGAGTACGCAAAGAATGGACCTTGAACCTTGAAGCGCAGTTGATCACCTGGGCCCAAAAGATTTGCAAGAGTGATCAATTCTGTATCCTTCTTGCGGCTACAAGAACCATTGATGGGACGAGCATGCAGCAAACTCAAAGGAAAACTAACGTCTTTGGGCAAGTCTTAGTGTGGCAGAATGTCCCGCCGCGCCTTGCAACCAAAGAGTTCTTGCCGAAAAGGCAACCTACATGTACATGTTGTTACGAGGCAAGATCCACCGTTCATACCATGCAGCATTGAAGCCCTGTCCCTGACGAGCGACGGGGTCACTGTGTTGGCAAGCTGACCTTTTGAAAACAAGAAGCCCGTAGCCTACGGGTAGCTAGTAGTATGACAGTATGACCGGTCGTTGTTGGGTTTTGGCTGGGCGGGCATTTTTCCCAAGCCCAATCGCTTGTTGCTTCATTCCCGATGGGTAAGTACAAAGCAAGCAGCACACCCAGGCAGACATCTAAACCCAATGGGTTAGCTACTTTGTACTACATCACTTGAAAACCTCTTGGGAAACCGGTTCAGGTTAAGCAATACTGCCATTGGCCTGAATGCCAGCAACGACTGGCTCATTCATCCAGCTTCCTCCTCGCGACCTTCCATAGCTCTCAAGGAATTAAAAAGGGAGTCAGAAAGCAGAATTACCGGATGGTTAGTTGTTTTCCAGTTGCAAAGTGGCCTGCAAGCAAGCACAGAACGCACTGGCAGCAAGGAGGTCCAAGTGTACCAAGCTTGCAATGTACTCTGGCCTCAACCAGCCATGTCAAAACGAAGATGCAGGTGCCTATTCAGCCCTCAGAGTCGCAGTAGCTGCAGATCCTTGCCGTCCCAGGCTTCAATGCATAATAGTATGGCATATCGGTAACCGTAACATGCCCTCCGAGACGATTGAATGGGTCATTCGATTCCTCTCCAAGAAGCAAATCGATTCGATTCTTCAATCGGACCCTCACTTGCTCCGAATGGACTGCCACCCAAAGAGTCGAGTCCAAAGGGCAGCACAAAGTTCAGGCCAGACGATCCTACAGTACGGTACCACGGAAGAAAGACGATTATGCCATACATGCAACTAGCAAGACAGCTGCCTTCTTTTCTGAACAATTACTGGTGACGGTACGTATCAAATTTATTTGTTTCTACTCAAACGTATTAGTTTAGTTTTGCTCTGATTGCCTGGCAAATGTGCCGCATGCTATCGAAGACATGATGACATTGTCATGTTAAAAAGTTACACTTGTGGTTTGCTGTTGCTTGAGAGAGAATACGTACATGCACACGAAACCAAAAGAAGAAGCCCAAACATTTACCATATTGATCCGAACGATGACGATCGGATCGTGCCTACTGTACTGCTGTTTGTTGGCTCCTTACTTATGGATAGAATCCCACATCTTCACACAATAAGTCTGCATTCGGAATTTGTGCCACAACAGTATTGGTGGCAAAGGACTGTTGGACACATCGATCGATTTCTTCCGTCTCTTGTACATTGGTATCGTCCGAAACTGCCAAAAAGGTATCTGGTAGCAAGCCAATCAAATCACGGAATTCTCCATTGCGAGTTCGTGTAAAGAGAATGATATTGGCATCGACATCTCCAATATTGGTGACGGTATACGTGTAGGTGATATCGAGGAGACATTCGTCGGGCGAACCAGCTTGTGGAATGGACCGACATTCGTCGCCATCTTCGGATTCGCAGGCAATGGTGACTTCAACATCGCAGGGTGGTCCCGTGACAAAGGCGGCTTCGGTATCCCAAATGGAGGAAAGATCTCCCGTGCAGATATCGAGTTCGACGCTTTCCAAAATGAAGGCTTGACCTCCCGGCGAAATATCAGTGATGGGGAAGGTATCCGTGATATCGGTGGTAACTCCTCCACGAGTGATTTCCAATGCGTAGATCCGTTGAACATCGTCCCCGACATTGGTAAACGTGTAGCTGTACTCGACCTCTACAATACAATCGGCTCCTCCGGAAGTTCCAGGCTGAATGTCCGTGCAAGTATAGCTGCCATCGACAGACACACAGTCCACGTCAATCTATAAAAAGAAAGGAAGAAAGATAATCGTAGGAACAGTTAGAATAAGATAAGATGGACAAAGATAAGATCAGGCCAGGCAAGATAAGATAAGAATCGGTACTTACAATCACTGGACAAGGTGTGGGGGCGGCTGTTGGCGCCGGTACAGGTGCTGGTACAGGAGCTGGAACAGGAGCCACCACGGGAGCCTTGGTAGGAGCTGGAGTCCGCACGGGTTCCATACTGAGTTCGTCACCCAGAATTCGATTCCAAAAGACTTCGTCTTCCTTGGTCATTGTCGTTCCTGCTCGCTTGACGTGCTGTGCCAGATCTTCGACCGTCGATCCATCCTTCTTTTGTTGTACACGTCGCTGTCTTCGAAGCTGCTTGACGTGGCTGTTCACAGTCGTCTCGAACTTGAAATCCGTCGACACCTTGGCGGCGGCCGAAAGAGGCACAAACAAAGCGACAAGAAGAAAAGTTTGCATCATCGTCATCATCGTCGTTATCAATCAAAAGATTCTCTCCAAAGAATGCAATGTCTCCGCTTTACCAGAAAGAAGACTAACTGGAAAGGCAGGCAAAAGCAAATGTGCTGCTACCCTTTACCCCTGGACATCCGCATTCAACGGCTACCAAAGGAGCACGAACAACACAAAAAGAAACAAAATGTGGTTGAGCGAGGTGCAAGAACATCTCACTCGAGTGAGTGCAGACCAGATTCTAAGTACCCACCTCATTTAGATACTTACTTCTAAGTAAATTTTAAAAATTGAGTGATTAACATCCACTTTACCGTGTCTTCTAAATGAGTTCGGATAGCGCACCTTCCACTGCAAGGCACGCGTTGACTGGTCGATCGCCACGAAACTAAGCTTTTTCAAGCTTCCCTCCTTTGTAGATGGCTTCCTTGGAGGCTTGAAGGCAATCTTCGGTATTCAGATAGTTAGCTTTCTGTTATTATGGGTAAGTATCTCGATCCTCACATAGCAAGTCTACGGTTGGTACCTTTCTCACTTTCACTTGCGTGAAAAAGGATTGAGATACACACCGGTCAATCTCTTCCCTCTCCTGCACTGCTGTGGTAGCATCACTGGCCAAAAACACGGTATCCAGCAAGGGCATGAGATTGGCAAATTCGCCGTCCCGAGCACGAGTGAACTCGAAAATGTTAAAGTCGGCAACTCCAGTATTCTCTACAGTGTAAGTGTAAATAACATCCAGCAAGCAATCATCCGGTGTCGGTGCTTGCGAGATTCGCTGGCATTCTTCTCCTTCTTCCGACACACAGGTAATTTCAACCTACGGTAGCGAGCGAAGACAGCATGGACGAAAATAACAGAGTGAGCGAGATACCGGTATGCAGTAGAAGGTAGCACGGAAGTCATTGACAGTCAGTTCAAACAGCACGAGCCGAGTTGTTCAGCAGAACGAGCGCAAAAATTCGCCACGTACACTAATGGACGAGGGAGGTCCCGTCAAGAGCTTTGCCACGGTGTTAAAGGCACCAATTCCCGTCTCCGTACACACGTCAATCTCTCGCAGAACGGGTGCCACGATCACGTCACCCGGTGGCAAATCCACCGTGGGAATGGCATCGGGAATATCCGTAATGACAATGGACTCCAACCCTCGTGTGACCTGAAGGGAGTAGATCCGTTCCGTTTCCGTGCCGTCATTGGAAATCGTATAGATGAATTCAACCTCCACCAGGCAATCGTCGCCCGTGCCGTTTGCGGGAGGAACCACCGAGGTGCATGGATTGCCACCATCCACCGTCATGCAATCGACGTCAATCTTCATTGCAGCAACAGCAATATTAGCAGATGTAAGGAAAGGTGGAAAACTAGCATCACGGAAGCAACGTTCGTCATGTCTACTCACTCTTGTGGGACAAGGTACAGGAGGTCTGGTTTCTGCCGGCAATATGCTTGCCACTTCATCAGATAGCAGTCGGTCCCAGAATAACTTGTCTTCTTCCGTCATTGGATTGACTGTTGCCCCCGTCTTATCCTTGTTCTTGCTGTCACTCTTCAACCTTCTATCGTCCCTGATAGTCGTCATTGTTGCCTTCTTCTCGGGTCTTGATTCCTTGCCAACCTGATGTGCTGCTCCCGTTGTGGTGGTCGCCTGGGTCAACGGCGCGGCCGCATTGGATATTCGTCGTTTTCGCTGTTGTCTCAATAGACGACCACTATTATCATCAGGCATCGATATGCTAAACTTGTATTCCGTCTCGGCTACATCGTCGTCCACTGCAACCACGGTCGACCGGAACAAACACAGGAACCAAAACAAAAGCAAGCTCGGAACAGCCTTCATACTTGCCATGCCTTGCCAATACCAAAAAAAAGCTCCTACCCTCGTGGATGTATGTATGTATGTATGTGGATGCAAAAGAGGCGTGACACATGGTGTGCCTTCCAACGGTGGTTTCAGCGAACGACGCGACACGCCATGGTCGCAGACCAGCAGCTTGAGCGAGTTGTGGGAGTGGATTGAAGTTTGCCATTTTTAGTTTATTTTGGTCCAGAAACAAAATAACCAAAAAAAGAAAGAAAAAATGGAACGCTTGCAGCAACTGTTCTCGCTGCCCAGGAATTCCGCGATGCTCTGCACTTGCGCTACGATCGGAGCCCCTCTGATCTTCCCAGCCACTGTGATGGCTGTGGAGAGCGCTTCAGTGTCACTCACGCCCTTTCCTGTACCAAGGGCGGTCTGGTTCTCCAACGCCACAATGAAGTGCATGATGAACTCGGTGATCTCGCTGCCAAGGCATTCATCCCATCTGCAGTTCGCGACGAACCCCGTATCCAACTTAGTCGCTCTGCAGCTACGGATGCTTCGCCTTCCAGCGACTCTCCTGTAGTTCTCACCACATCCGAGGAACGAGGTGATTCCTTATCCGTGGCCTCTGGAACGCGGAACTGACGGCATAATTGTATGTTCGTGTCATCAATCTTGATGCTTGCTTCTCACTGTCGCAAGGATCCTGACAAGGTTCTTCGCAATGGCGAACGTGACAAGAAACGCAAGTATCTCGACGCCTGTCTTTCCCAACGCCGCCACTTTACTCCGTTTGTTGTCTCTGCTGATGGTCTCCTTGGGCCGAAGCTGAGGCACTCGCGAACGTATTTCCGCTTTGCTCGCTGCAAAGTGGGAACGCCCTTACTCAGTGGTTCGTGGCTACGTTAATGCTCGGCTCAGCCTAGCTATTCTTCGGGCCCCCACCTTTGCATGCGTGGCTCTCGTGTCCCTGCTGGCACAAATGAGCTACCGTCGTTCTCTCTGGACTGCCGATGTGCACTTGCACTCTTCCGTAATTTTGCTCCCTTTCCTTCCTGTTTTCCTCCATGCACCCCCCTTCCTGCCCCCCTTGTTTTGCTCTGCTCGCGTCCTCATTGCTCTCCCCGTCTGCCCACACACCAGCCACCCCACCGCAGCCGATGCTTTGCCTAGCTCGCCCCCTCGCTCCTAACGTATCTATTTAGTATTTTTTTTACTGACACTACCGGAAGGACATCCCCTGCTCTGCCCAGCTATCCCCACCCTCGCTCCTTGACTCGACTCATCTACTTAATATATTTCTTTAAAAGAAGGGGGGTTTAAAGAGTGGGGGGGGAGATATCAATAACAGAAGCCAATAATACTAGCATCATCTGTACTAATATTAATAATTCAGCCAATGAAAGAGGAATTGCGAAAGGCGCAGGCACAAGCACATCCACACAAAACAGAGGTACAGTCAAAGCCAAAGTAACAGGGCCAATCCAACCCATAGGTACAAGACACATTCTGCAAGAAGCATAGCTCCTCTGGGACTGTGCCAGACAAGCCAAGGTTGCCAGTTAGATTCAAAGTATTCAGATTTGTCAAAAATGCAAGCTCTGATGGCACAGGTCCAGTCAATTGATTTTCATCCAAAGTCAAAACTTCTAAACCAATCAGCTGACCAAACTCAGAGGGAATCTGGCCAGATATTTGATTTTCCTCCAAACGCAAAACTGTTAAACCAATCATCTGACCAAACTCTGAGGGGACAGGTCCCTGAGACTGGTTTTCATGAACCAAAATGGACAATCAGAGAGTCTTCCGAGCTCTGATGGAAGGGGACCCGTGAACTGATTTTCACCCAAGCCCAAAGATGTCAGAGCAGACAGTTGTCCCATTTCAGAGGGGATCTGGCCTGATATCTGATTCTGAAACAAAGACAACTGATGCAAAGCAGTTAGCTGTACAAGCTCTGAAGGAATCTGGCCTGATAATTGATTCTCGTGCAAAATCAATAGATTCAAATCAGTGAGTTGTCCAAGTTCACTAGGGATTTGGCCAGTCAAGTTTCCCTCAGACAATAACAAACTGACCAAATCAGTCATCTCATACAAATCTGCTGGAATCAGAGAAGAAATTGCTGCTGATATATCATTGTAAGCGAACTGAAGGTGGGACAATTGAACTCAGATGGTAATCTCTGGTGGAATAAAAGGTGCAAACCAGAAATCTGGAGGTTTCCAACCAAAGCGAGGTAAATTTGCCATGGCTGTTGCAGGAAAGCTGCCTTTGATATTCGTAGAATGTTCCTTCATAGAAAAATCCAAATCCATTGGAGAACCAGTCACACTCTCCCACTGTGTCATCCATCCATCGCTCCTTTATTAGAGGGTTCCAATTTTCTCCCTCAAAGGCATAGAAAAATGTAGCAAGAGCAAACAGCTGCTCCTTTCTCCATTCTGGTAGCCATGTGACGTTTTGGTGGTTTGCAAGCCAATTCCATGCTCTCCACTGAGGAGTTTCACTGCCATTGTTGATCCTCGCCAAGGTGTGAATGGGAAGATTATCCAACAGCAAGTCCAGAACTCCACTGGGTGCAGATGATGGCACTTCAGAAGGAGTCATCGAGCCAAAGACAGTAGGAGATGGTGTTTGGTACACAACAACTTTATCGTCCTTTCCAGCAGTGCCAGCCACCGTCCCTATAATGACAGCCACAGCACAGACTACCAGAAACAGAATAAAGAGGAACGTTTGACTCCGTTTTTTTGCTTCTTGTTTCCTTTTCTCTTGTTCCTCCACATGCACGGGATCTGCATGCATCAAATCTTCTGGGTCATCCGTGACTCGGTTAGCCACTGCCAGATGGTCCATGGTAACGCCGGATCGCATTGCTTGATTGGGAAATAGAGTCGGGTCCAACACGTGGTGGAGTGCTGCTGACGAGGAATCGACGGGTGCTTCGTCTTCATCATTATTAGTTAAGTTGGAAATTCCCGTCCCTGCCATGGGGTAGGCACCGGGCACCAAGATTTGTTGCTGCTGTTGTTGGACGGTTTCACGCGTACCTGGGTGTAACAATGCGGTCTCTTCCAGCGTAAACAGGTCCTGAGGACCACCTACGGCGGCACTTGCTTTTTCGTGATTTGCCTCTGCCGCTGTCGTCGCTGTCGTCGCTGTGTTTGTTCGCAAATATTTGTCTATGCCTATTGTCTCTTCCAGCGTACTAGTACCTGCTGGGTGATCATGAGCACCACCCATGGCGGCATTTGTTTGTACATGATGTGCTCCAGCAGCTGCCAGTCCTGTGTTTCCTTGCAACCCTTTTACAGGCATGCCTGGATCAGTAGCAGTCTGTCTCTCTTTTTGGTTTGTGAGACCAGCTTGTTCCGACCCGATCTCTGTGAATTTTGCTGTTGCTCCATCTTCCTCTGACTTGACCTCATTTGTACCTTCTACATGAGCTATCATGGCATCCGATTCTTCATCTTGGTCCTGCTGTGCGGCTTCTGCCTCTGCTCTGTTGATAAGGCTATCCCTTGCTGCCTGATCAAGCTGGTCTGGTTGACGATCATCAAAGTCTCTACCACCATCTTGGGCATTGCTATTGCCATCTTGTTGGTTGGATGGATCATTCATCTTGGGAATATCCGCAGGGTCGTTTCTTGCTGTTGCGGCTGGACGTTACTTCGTATATATGTGTCTTGTACTCTCTTTGATAGCTCTGAAAGGGTCTTCTCCTCTTGCATGTTTATAAAAGAGTGACCTAAGGATCCAGCCAGACTGGATATGCAGCCAGAGTAGAGCGAGCGATAGGTATTTGACATCACTGACGTTTGCCGACACTGCGTCATTCGGGGTCATTCTGTGACGTCAACGCCAGCAGAGCTGAGACCTTTTGTTCTCGAAAGAGCACCGTCGTCACTGTCGTGCTTCACTCTTTTGCTCGAGCTGAACAGTGCATCAGTGAGACTTGGGTTGATACTGTTGCTGTTGCTGTTGCTGTTGCTGTGGTAACCATTGGAAGTCCTTCAGTGTCTTGGATTGTTATTATAGATCCGCCTAGACTAATCTCTCTGTCTTGGATAGTGAGAGAGAGAGGAAAGCATCTTTGGTTCTCACATCCCAGTCCAGCTACCCAAGGTTACCACCCGAGGTATATACCCATATCCATCGGTATCTACACAGTCAAGCCAAGCCAAGTCAAGCCAAGTCAAGCCAAGCCAAGCCAAGCCAAGCCAAGAGCGTGAGATAATTGTATCGATTATTCAAGTTAATTGAGGTTATTACTAAAGTTAAGGATGACCGTCAGATCCGATCAGACTCCTTCGGTCTCGTGGGAACCTTTACCGACATTTTCCAAGAGTTTTCAACCGCGCAAAGATGCCACTGCAGTATCCCTGCAATATGGAAAGTTTTTGGTGTTGGGAGGTCAGACGGTCCAAAAAAAGAGCCGACAGGACGATCAAGAAGCGACTTATAATGGCACCACCAAAACTCAGTTATTAGAATGGAACATGCGTCGAACTCTACCGTGGCCATCTCTGCAAGACGCTCGCTTTGGAGCTGCCGCCGTCAATTACAATGACGAAAGTCTTTGGGTATTTGGAGGTGCCAATGACGAAGGTCGTGTTTTAGGTAGTGTCGAAGGATTTTCCTTGCAGTCGCACCACAATCCACAATGGACATGGACGTTGGCGCCACAGCCGTTACCGACGCCCCGTGTTTATGCGGCAGCCGTGGCAGTCCCCACGGAACATGCCGTACTGATCGTGGGTGGTCGCAATAACAGTTGGCAAGAATTGAATACCATGGAATGGGGACAATTATTATTCGACACGGACGAACAAGTTGACGTGGTGACCATCTCCTGGACGACACTGAACAACCTCAACTCGTTACTGCCAGGACCCCGCATGGGATGTGCCGCTGTCATGCTCAATGAAACCAGTCTGGTGGTCATGGGTGGATACGACGGACGATCCTGGCAAAAAACGTGTCACATGTACGAATTCTCCATGGGACACGTCGTAGAAGGTATTTGGAAAGATTTGCCCGATATGATTGAAACGGTACGATTTCCCAAGGCGGTTCGATATTACAAATACCTGCTCGTGGTGGGAGAAAAGGAAGAATCGCCTCTGGCACCGACTTCGACTACTATTATTCAATGCTACGATTCCGATCAACGACAATGGGTCTGGAGTAAAACATGTGCCGAATGTCCGTCACCGGTCGATGTCATTTCTTTGCACGGCAATCATTTGTACGCCTTTGGTGCCGCCAATGCGGTGGCCGGTGTCACGACGGACAAGGAAATGAAAAAATCCGCATCGATATTTACTTGTGGATTATCCACGTTGGATCCCCGCATGGTCCGTGCCAGTCTTCCTTCCGTCACGGCCATTGCTCCCGCCGCGGCTGACGACGATGCTCCCACCATTGTGGCCATGGAAGCCGTGTTGGTCCCGGAAGACGAATCATCGTCCTTCAAACCACCCGCCAAAGCCGCCGCGGCACGCCGCGGTACCATTATCGCCGAACCCACCGAAGTATCCATCAAATTACGACACGTGGTCAAAATCAAACTCAGTGAACGATCCTATTACACGGGACAATTGCGACGAAAAGATGGCACGTACGTGCCGCATGGACAAGGATTGCTAGTGTGGGTCGAAGAAGACAAAGACGATCTCGACGCTTTGCGTCAAAGTACCAATAGTGTCAATAATCCACCACCGAGTTCCTATTACAAGGGACAATTTCTAAATGGATTCCGGCACGGACTCGGTGAAATGTATTTGCAAGTCGAAGACAAACACTACTTTGGTGCGTTCGAGTACGGATCCTGGGAAGGCATGGGATCGCTCAAAATTCGCAGTCGTGGATTTTCCTTTTTTGGACAATTTGCCACGGGTGAAATGACAGGCAATGGAAGATGTAGTTATCGCGTGCGAGTTGGTGATTTGTGGAAACAAAAAACGTACAGTGGTGGATTCAGTCGAGGACTGGCCCATGGCAAGGGTGTTATTGCCGATTATTTGACGGGACGCATCGAAGAAGACCGAGAATTTAAGGAAGAGGATTTGTTTGGATTGGGTGCCTTGGCGGGGACTCCCTCCATAATGGGCAGTGGAACACCGACACCACAACAGCAGCAGCAGCAGCAACAACAACAAGGAAGCAACAATGTGGATGTATAGATGTCAAACTATCGTATGTGTGCTTTGAGTTCCAACTACAGCATTCGTGGCCCCTTGATTTGCCTATTGGGCCGTACCGTCTCATAATACCCACCAAGAGATCCCAGTGCAGTTTTGTCTTGTCATTGTCGAATCTTTTCTGATTATGTTTACGATTTGCTTATACATGTACGGTTTGTTTGCTGTTATTATAAATCGGACACAAAGTTGCATTGCGCGTGTGAAACTATGTAGTGGACGGACGACAAGATGGTCTCGAAGGTTCAGGCGTATCGTTTTAGCCGCAAAAGCACAGACAAGGCGATCCTGATATGAAATAAGGATGCAGAGGATCAGAAACAGTTAGTTCGGGTCTCGGTTTCTCCTTTCCATCCAAGAGCTCTTACCTTGAGATTTCATTTGCTTGTTGAATTCTTGCTCCTTTTGTTTTCGCTCTTCTTCCATTTTGAGGGATTCCGCAATGGCATGCATGAGTTCCTCATCTTCTTGCTCTGTCAAGCCTTCTTCCGTGGTGATTGTCGTCGGGGCTGTACCTTTCTTGGAAGCTTCCGTCAATGCCGGTGCCTGTGCCTGTTCTGGTTTTGGTGCTATAGCTTTGATTTCGTCCTCATTAATGTTGCCTGACTTGGCGGAGGCGGATAGGAACATCGATGGCGTGTAGTAGTTCATCTTATCCACGAGGGTATCCATGGGTGCCTTGACATCTCCCACGATGGGAATTTTTCGAAACTTTTGTTCCTTGATGCACGTAATGGTCAATGGCTCTTCGATACCTCCACGAATCACGACGAATCGATTACCGGGCATGAGCATACCCGATTTGACAGCAAAGTTTTCGGGGTGCTTTTCAATGAGTCTATCGGCAATATATGCCGCTCGATTCGCCGTGACGGAACCTGCGGCCAACGCGGCCGAATCAATCACCATTCCTTTCACCACCACACTGGCCGTGGCGCGAGTGAGCGCCGTCGATGTCCCCGCACTGGAAGCCGCCATGAGCGTGCCCACGATAAATGCTGCGGGGATGACAGCCGTCGAAAAGGCATTCGTCATGGATTGGCGACGCGTGGGAAGACTCTTTTCGTCTCCCACCACGGCATGAATCTTGTAGGGCACCACGGATGGTACACCGGTATTGGTGGAACGAGGCATTGCAACGGCTTCTCCGGGAGCCAACACTTGCTTGTTGTAGAGGACGCCACGGTCCAAAAACAAAACGACGCTCTGATGCGTCTGATTCACAATCACAGGGTTGCACTGCGACAGCGGAACATTGTTCTGATCGTCCTCTCTCTTTCCAAACCAGCCCATACTGTAGTACTGCACTTGTTCAATGACACTGGTGTATGAATATGATCCTCCTAGGTAGCTGCCGTGGTGCAGTGGTAGTCTGGTGATTTGTGGTGAAGTTGCTCTTTCCTCCGTTTGTTGGTGTTGTCATTCATTCCGCCACGCCTAATCGAGTTGATGCCAAAGACGCTGGGATCCTCATTCGTGGATCCAACGGCCGAGGTGCCTTGGGATTGGATCATACACCGTGTTTTTAGAAGAGCAAAGTGTTCCGGACCACTCCCGCAGCCCTCTTCGGCGAGCTCACAGTGCGCACTCGAAGTGCCAGTGCACATGGCCCCAGTCGGTTATCCCTTTTAAAACTCGATAGTAGCTTCGATGGCCGCACGGTAAACATGGAGAGGAGATTTCACTTTCAGCAGCACGAAGTAGGCAAGCGAGGAGCAACGGGTGGGGGATCCCATGGCATTTCCTTTGACGGGGACTTTGGACACTACTTATTAATCTCTGAGCTGGACATCGCGAAGGAGCTTGATAATCGCTGCTGGGACAAACCCAGCGTAGACGAGGGAAGAACATCTGGACTGACCTGGTCCGCTCATAGAGATACCTACAGTATCCTCGGACACTCTCAGGGATACGAAGCAAAGCGGACTTCTTGGTACAGACTAAACGCGGAAGAACCAGTCCACACGAGGAGAAACCATCATCCTAGTAGCTAGATTTGACTGTAAGCTGGACTGCTGCTTGAAAGAACCGAACCAGGAGAAACTATCGTAGCAGAGTGGTGTCAGCATTATTTAGTGAAGCGGTTTAGCTAGCAAGATTTAATCTCTGTATTGAAGTTCATAGTCAAACATGTCCCTACTGGCTCTGCTCAGGACCCAATCATCCCTTCTAAAGCCATAGTCTGTTGCCAAGGCAGGTCAGGTCCAGCCATACTGTTGGATGGCTGCTTCTTGTGCCATTCTTGAGGACACGCTGGTCCCAACGATAATGGAAATTACCCAGGCTCGCCTCATGGTGGTGCACCCCACAGAAAGGACTAGTATGGCTCGGTATCCAATGGACTTTGGTTCACCAATCCAAGTCATCTGAGTGATGGGAGACAGCCTTCACAGCAAGTACAGCAGTAGCATTCAATTTCTGGAAAGCTTCCACCACAGTCAGCCTCCAAAAATGTTAGCACACCCAGTGGTACTCGATTCAGACAGACTTCTTCAGGCATAACTCCAGTGAGGAGATTCTGTTCAAGCTCAAATGTCTGCAGCTTGTACAAGGTCCCGAGTTCAACTGGCACAGTTCCGGTCAGCATATTACCCGAAAACCACATTTGCACTTTGCACAATCGCCAAATAAGGGGTGAGGATGTTAGTAGTTTCACAATCCAACAAGCATGAAACTTCAACTTGGACTTACCCATGTTCCCCATATTTCCTAGCTCAGAAGGGATAGGACCCTCAAATCCACACCTGGTGATGGACCAACTCTCTGTGTAGCAGAAAAGCTGACAAATAAGATGAAAATAGCCAACTTCACAACGTCCTGTTTTGATGACTTACGAAGAGTTTGAACATTGGCCATGGTTGTTGGAATTGTCCCCATCAACCCTGGATTTGCGTCAACCCAGCTTTCAACTACAGGTGCAAGCAACCAGCAGTGTGAGATTGTGTGCCTCGTGAAGTTATTGGAACTTCATGTTTGAGTTCTGCTTACTGATAGATTGCATCGGCTCCATGAAAGACAAATCACCATCGATGGATGCACTTTGAGCATAGAAATACTCTACAATGGAAAAGCACCATAAGATGGGAATGCAGGCTGTGGTTCTACAGGAGTGTTGGTGTTGTGTGACTTACTGAGGTTTGGTAGATAGCCAATTTCAACAGGGATGGAACTGTTGTAGGCATTTCCACTCAACACAAGGTATACTGCAGACAAGTCAGCTACAGTCAGCAGTGCACAAACACATCTGTCATCAGAAGATCTTACCAAGGTTTTGAAGGGGTGAAAAGGTGGAGCCAAGAAGAGGTCCAGAGTACAGAGAGTAGGAACAGTCATATTCTTCTAGCTTGGTTAGCTGAGAAATCTGAGATGGGATTCCATTCTTATACTCAAAGTTTGTCTGTCCATAGAAGAGTTGTCTCAGGTTTGTAAGCTGTCCCAACCATGCATTGCCCTCATCACCACTGTTATAGACAGAGTTGCTGAATAGGTCAATGTATGTGAGGGATGATGCCATGATTGTGGTTTCTGGAGGGAATGTTCCTGTGATGCGATTGGAAGCCTGTCAATGTACAGCAAATGACAACATGATGAGTATAGTGAATAGAACACTGCACAGCTTTTTGTATGAGAAGACTTACCAACACCATCTTCTCAACCTCTGAGTTCGCATTACATGTGATCCCAAACCAAGAGCACTCATCAATATTGCTGATCCACCCAGTCGAATCAATCCACCCCCGAGGATCCGCAACAGTATAGATAGTTGCAACAGCATGGGTTGCATAGTAGATGCAAGCTAAAGAATATCTTTGCTGAATTCGAGTATCGGTTAGAGAAGCTGAAAAGGGGTCAGATTCAAGCCATGTGATGGCTTTTGCCTGGTAGGTCTCAGGGTTTTCCCACTCTGCACCTCCTTGAAGTGCAACAGGTTGAACAATACCTCTAATGCCACTAAGTGACGCAGGAACAAGACTTGTGGGTGGCTCAGTTGGAGGATTGGTGGGTGCAATGGTAGGAGGATTGGTGATTGCCATGGTAGGAGGTGCAGTTGGGAGTGGTGTTGGGTCAGGTGTTGGATCTGGCACAGGAGCAGGAGTTGGTTGTGTTGTGGGCATTTGTGTTGGGCCAGGGCTTGGAGGTGGTGTTGGAGGTGGTGTTGGAGGAGGTGTTGGATCCTGTGTTGGAGGAGGTGTTGGATCCTGTGTTGGGCCAGGACTGGGGGGAGGCGTTTGTAGTGGGATGGACTCTAGTATCGGCTCCGGTGTGAGTGCTGATGTGGGATCTGGACCACGGATAAATGTAGGATAAAGAGATGGTTCTGGAGTTTTCAATGTTGTTGGTCCAGGTGTTGGTCCAGCCAAACCCACAGAATAAACACTGACTGTCCATGTACCACCACAGGTTTCACCTGGCTCACTCGAGCATTCTATATCACACTCAGACTCTGGGGCTTGGCTGTACCCCCAATAGTAGTTTCCACAAAAGCACTCACTACCAAACGAAAGACCAGCAAAAGGATATCCTCGATCATCACACGCAACCACACAAGTAGAAACACCATAGCCATCGCCAATTTTTGCTTGCATGGCTTGAGGGTCATCCTGATCATTCCAGCATCCCAAGTAGGTTCTTGCAAGAAGAGCTGATGGTTCTACTGTTGGATTGGATATTGGTGCAGTAGTTGGAGTATCCGTAGGGGATTTTGTTGTTGGTGCTGAGGTTGGGGGAGGTGTAGGATCAGGCACAGGTGCCGTAGTTGGACTCTTCGTGGGTCCGGGGGTAGGAGTACCCGTTGGGTGCCCAGTTGGAGGTGACGACGTTGGTTCTGGAGTGGGCTCTTCTGTGGGAGCTGGGGATGTTGGCTTGGGTGTTGGGCTTGATGTAGGTTGTGGTGATGTAGGTTGTGGTGTAGGGGCAGCTGTTGGATCAGGAACAGATGATGCAGCCTCCAGCATGAGGGTAGAAGTGGGAGCTACACAGTCACTATCCCAGTCAATGGGCTCTCGGCACAAGCATAACGTGCGGGCACAACACTCAGTTGCCAAGGGACAGTCTTCTGCTTTGAAACACGGCGTAAAATCCGAGAAGACAGGATTATTGTGGTGCGAGGAACCATCGGCACAAGAATCTCCAGCAGTGTGCTGGACATTGGCAGGGGAAGCTTCCAGCGTCAGGGTAGATACTGGAGCAGCAGTGCTGGGAGCAACACAGTCGCCTTCTGGATCAACGGGCAGACGACAGAAGCAGAAAGTGTGGATACAACATTCATCCATGGGGCAGTCTTCGCTCTTGAAGCATGGCGTGAAATCAGAGAAGGCAGGATTGTCATGATGAGCGGAGCCATTGACACAAGAATACACTGGGGGACCCGTTGGTGACTCAGTAAGAGGTATAGTTGGAATCGGGGTTGGCAGTGGCGTTGGCAGCGGGGTAGGTTGTGGCGTTGTGATGGTGTTGGCGGTGGAGTTGGATCAGGCACTGGGGCTGCAGTAGGAGGTGACGTTGGTGGTGGAGTCGGATCTGGCACTGGGGCGACGGAAGGAGGTGGTGTTGGTGGTGGTGCGGGATCTGGAACTGGGGCCACAGTGGGAGGTGGGGTTGATGTTGTGGTAGGTTGTGGCGTTGGTGATGGGGTTTGCGGGGGAGTTGGATCAGGCATTGGAGCAACAGTAGGAGGGAGCGTTGATGTTATTGTTGGATCAGGCACTGGGGCAGCAGTGGGAGGAGGTGTTGGATCCGGAACTGGTGCTTCTGACGGAGATTCGGTCTCGGGAACCGGAGAGTCTTCGCCGTATGCGGCCTCCGTTATTGCGGGGACAGAAGTGTTTTCTCCTACAAGAGCCTCGGTATCACAGTTGAAAAAAAGGAGGCCTCGTCTTGTCATGCCAACATTTTGGTCGGCTAATTCCTCTTGGGTTCGGCGGCCGCCAAAGCAAAAGGCCTGTGCTGTGGCGGCAAAGAGAGCCAACAAGAGGTTCGTCTTCATCTTGCTTTCTCAAGCCAAACTAAGATTTGTAGTGGAAGGAAAGCGGATTTTCAAATGAGTGTGTATCACCTTCCTGCAAGCATGCTTCCGTGTGCCTTGAGCTTTTTATTAGTTGGCCGCCATGGACGACGACAACAATGGCAAGCTCTCAAGCGAGACACTGCCTCAAAAAGAAAGGAAATCAGCGATTTCCACACGGGACGCAAGCCATCTTTTCCCGATTCGTGTGGAAACAGCATTTTTGGGTTCTACTAAGGTTAGAGCTTTTAGTCCTTTTTCGGCCGTACGGTACCAGTAGCAGCTCGTA